AAGGAAATATTGCTTATTGACTGAAAGGGCCCTGCTGTCTTTCTGTTGTACTGTTCTACAGAGCCTTTACAGTTTGTCTATGCAAAATAACTTACCTACTGCTGCATCCCAGCCTTCCGGTTGCAAATAGTCAAAATACAGAAATAAAATGCAAGCACACCTGTAATAGTAATACTCTGTGGCCAGTTTTTCTCAGGCATTTTTTCTCCTTTCCACTTACATTTCCCAGTATTCTCCAGTCTTGTTGGTGCCTATTACAGTGACCTGTAGAATCACTTTCAGTTGACCAATTAACATCACCAAGTATGGTCGTGTCCTCACATCAGCCACCACCAGGAAACCTGCAGTTTATGAAGCTGTGATGAAATGTACTTATGGCACTAGATCAGTGTTTCTCAAATGTGGCCACCGGGGGCTTTTCTTATGGCCACAGCCTCCTGGGTGGTGGTTGGTGGGGGGCAAAGCACTGGCCCCTCCCCCAGGGTCACCAGCAGGGTTTGTTCACAGCCCCCTTCTGGAGCCACAAATACTGTAGAAGCCAGGTGACCAGTGTGCGTTCTCCCCCCTTCCTGGGGGTGGTGGGCTTGGCCTTTGGGCTTCAGCCCTGGGGTGGTGGTTGGTCAGCAGGCTCTGTCCCCCAGCCGCAGGGCTTCAGGCTCTGGCCCCAGGCTCACACCCACCCCACCCCTAGCTCCCGCTGCCTCCTCCAGCCCCCACTCACGTAGCAGGACTCCAGGCCCAGACTCACCCCCCATCCCCCTGACCCCCACTGCCTCCTCCACCCCCCATCCAGTCCCCCCTGGCCCTCCTGCCTCCTTACCTACCTCCCTATCCAGGATTTAATTTGTCCCCCAGCTTGCTGGGCATGAGTAAGTCTGCTGTGAAAAGTGATATTAACAATATACAAATATCACTTTTCACAAAAGCAGACTTACTAGCTAGCAAGTCTTAAAAAAAACCAAACAAAAACCCACCACCAAAAAAAGCAAAACAGGCAAAGCACCTTATTTGTGTTTTTATTCTGTATAGGTCCAGTAAGGAATAGGGACAACTGTACATTATTTTTATTATTGAGTCTGCAAAAAAAACCTACATAAATAAATTACAATGATTTGGACATGTATATGTGCATATTTATTTGTTTTTCCTAAAGTTAATTAATTATTTTAGGAAAAATTGTCAGCGCGACCACCAGCAAGAGTTGGTGGCCGCACTCTGAAGCCACCTAAAATTTTGTTGTGAGAACCCCTGCACTAGATTGTTTAATGCAGTTTAAGAACTATTCTAACTATTGAGCATTTAGCTAGAATGTGGACAATGAAATGACCACTTTATTTTCCTTATTCTGAAAGCTTTTATTGTATGCTGTGTGTGTTTGTAGTGCATATACTTGTGGGATTCGTCTGTCCCAAAAAACCTGTTGGAATTTTTCTGGAACTTTCAGAACCCTCATTGCAGGGCAACAGGTGCTGGAAGACTTAACAATGCATGTTTCATCTTGCTTAATCTCTGGGCTTTCTTCTGTTTTTTTCAGTGGTAATTTTAAGTTTTATTTTTTTTAGTACCAAGGCACCTCTAAGAAAGGGGTAAGTCGACTGGACAAACAGATGCGGAAGTTCACAGATATCAGGAAAAAAAGCAGATCAGCCCACGCAGTGAAAATCAGCATTGAAGGCAATAAGATGCCATTGTGACCCTTCACAGAATACTCCTAGATCTCTGCTGAGAGATCTGCACCCATAGACTCTTTGGAGACCTTGAAATTTTTTAACAAAATTGTTTTTTTAGTGGATCTTTAAATTGTTTGTTCAGCTTCTGATATAAAATGTTGTCTGAGGATTGTGAATCCTGGGACTTTTCCCTCCTGACTGTATTTAAATTTGTTCTGTTGTGTCCTTTGTACAGATCAAATACTTGTTGTACTGCTGCCCACTTTAGACAATAAAATATACTTCTGTTTTTTGGGGGGTGTCTGTTGATTGGTGAAAGGGGTGGGATGGGGAGACAGCCAGGACAAGGCAGTAAATACCTAATGTTTAGGAACAAGCATTCACTTAGTAATTGTGAATTCTGTTCATACCATCTGGTTCTTCAGTTTTTTCCTTTATTTTGGTGCCAGTGATTTTATTTTAATTACCTATTCTGCCTTTTGATACCAAAGCTGACACCTGCAGCTCTCCAAACAGCTTAAACAGTGGCTATCTCCAACTAGTAATTTTTCATCTCATGTTGTAGACCCCAAGAAGATAAGACTTTGTTGAGCTGAAACTTCCAGTGACTAAAATGATTGGTTGCCCTAAGATTGCACAGCATTTAAGAATCACTAGTCATCACTGATAAAAGATCAAGGCAAAATCTTTAAGGGTGAATGATAATAGCTGCAGTTGGTGAGCAGTACTGTGAAGTATGATGTCATCTTAACTAAAGAAAATTGTCCTTAGTTCAATTACTTTCACTGTCTTAAAAACTGAGCTATAAGGGTGAATCTTTAGGATATCAAGGGTGCTCAAGCAGCCTGACTCTAGAGTGCTGGATATTTTCTTTACTAAATGGCCCATAAAACCCCTAGATGATCATGCTGCTATTTCTTTGCTGCAAAAAGACTAGAGTGGAATTGTGTACCTCTGTCTCTGAAACTGTTCTTGGTGTCTGTAAAACTGGGGCTGAGAGAAAGGTTTGGAGTTCAGTGAGAAAACAATGATCTTTCCAAGTAAGCACATAACATCTCTACAATCAGAGTGGATACACAGTGAGTTCCTTGAGGCAGGAGTGCTGTTGCCTTCTGTATGTGGAAAGCACTTAGCATGCTGTGGCTTCTGCTGGAAAAAATTAGAACTCCAGGCAACTGAATGCTTCCTCTTCCAGTTTGTTCCCTCTGAAACTGAGCTTGGACTATGGTCATAAAAAATAAACAAAGGCCTGATGTGAGAAGTAGCAGGTAACTGACGATGCAGAGAAGCAAACCCATGGACTCTGATCTAGAGCCTATTATTATTTGAACTTGAGTTGTCGACTGTTGCATTGAATTGCATGGCTTTCTGTTAAGGTACAGTGTCTGTTCAACTACATCCTTCTTATGGTATGCTGAGAATTGATTTAGTTTATTAAGAATTCCTTGAAAAAAGGTGCAGCCAAATTCCATTTCTGCTACATAAGTAGGTGCAACTCTATGGAAACCCATGAAGTTCCATAAAATATCAGGGCTAAATTTGGCCCTTATGTGTTGGAGCTTCCTTTTTCAACTGCTAAGATTTCCCCCGTCATTGATGCATGAGTTTTTTGCCAGTATTTTAGTGCTATTTGCTTCATGGTTGAATGAAGCAGTCTGCTACTCCCCACATGGGGAAGGGTTGAAATTTAAAATTGCAGATTGTGCTGTAGCTCTACATTGTACTTTCTTCCACTTATCAACTGCTCCAAACATTGATGTCCTTTCCTGCAATGGAAAATGAGCAGACTTTTCCTTTCAAGTTGATGGGAATCAAATAATCTTTAAAGTTGCATTTAATTCTCCCCCCAGAGCAGTGACAGTTAGGGGTTAAATGCTTTGAGGAGTGAGGGTGAAGGGACACAGATTTCTATTAATTTGAACTCCTATTATTTTTTTAACTCTGAAAACTTAATAGTAAATTTGAATGTTTGGTCTCCTACGACCTTAAAAAAATTAAAGTGGGAAGGAATTCTTCTCCATCACCTCCAAATACTGCACAAGGATGCTGTTTAATGATATTTGAACCCGAGGACAGCAGTGTGAAGTTCTTTAACATACTGTGGTAACAGTCCGGCTTGGTGAGAGGAGATATTAATTTAGAATAAGATTGCAGAATTAACTGTTTTGTTTCACCTGTATATTTATGTGGAAGGCTATGCGACATTCTTAATTTTTTTAAATGAAACCCTGAAAGCCAAACTCTTGCAGAGGGATGGCTGACTAGAGGCTTGGTCCTCTTTCCCCCTGCGCCCTTTGGCTTTTAGACTGTTAGAAAAGTTGTTTCTCATAGTATTACTAGGTTTTCCAAGTTTGTTAACCACTATTTCATGTCTGACAGCAAAAATCAATTGTATATGGCATGTAAGTTTTCACAGTAAAAGAGCTCTTGTCTAATTTTTTTACCCCATCTCCTGCTCCCACCAGTCTATCATACTCATTTAGAAAACCACTAATCTTGCATCATCTGCTGTGAACAATCATCTAACTTGAATGTTAAACCCTGTAGAATCATAGAATTGTCTAGGGGTGGAATGCCTTTCTCTATGGAGCTAGTGCTACTTTTTCCCCTAGAATGTGTAAAAGGGAAATACCAACAGTGAAAGCTGGCTCCATGATATGTTCTGTTTCTGACCCATGGTAGGTAACTACTGCCCCAGCTGCTGGATAGTAGTTTAGAGACTAATGTGCTTAAATGCACTAAATGCCTTGCAAGAAAAATCAAATGACATCACATGAGCAGTAAGATGATTAAACCTGCCTTACTGCATGTTGTTAGTTTGAATAATTGCTGCTACTGGGAATTCGAATAGTTTCCCACTAGTTACTATATTCTGTTCCTCTCCCTTCTTACTGGGTTAAATGTCCATGCCTTTGAATGCTGCTGCTGCTATGTAAAGTTTCAACTTTTTTTAGAATAAAATGGATATTTAAAGTTTTTCACTTATTTTCCTGATTACCATAAAGCTGACAAATGCTATTAATGTTTTCTTCACTCAAACTCCAACTCAGTCTTATCATTAGACAACTTGATGAATTCTGAAGCCTCCACATTGCAGATAACAATCATACTATAAAGTGATTAACTCAGATATATCACTGTCAACATATTGAACTGTCCTGATTCTTTTAACGGTTAATGTACTTTCACATTGAGTGGAATAGCTGGAGAACAAAGTTATTTCCTTCCACAGCAACATAAAGAAAACAAAATCCCTAACACTGTTAAACCCTCCACTTTCAACATTTCTAGTGCAGTGGTTTGTATTACAAAAGTCTCAGGAGCAGCAAATACTGTATTACATTTATTAGCAGAACAAGGAATACTGAATAGACTATATTTAGCTTCATACTGAATAAGCTACTTTTTTAAGTTAAAACTATTGTAAAATTTCCAGTTTTATTACTGGTAGCATTTCTGATGTTTTAGAAATGGTCCTCATTAGAATGAAGGTAAAAATCTTCCTGCATCAGCTAGATTTTCAACAACCTCCTTTATCCATGGTACATAGTTGGCTACCCGCGTATATGCACCATATTTCCTTTCTTCAGCACAGCCCTCACCCCAACTGACTATCCCTAGCAGGTACCAAATGTCGTGGTAAGAGACAGCAAAGGGGCCTCCACTGTCTCCTTTACAAGCATCGTGGGCTTTGGCAGCATAGCCTGCACAGAACATGTTATCGGTAATGAGCTTTGCTGTTGACTGCCTACAGGTTTCCATGCTTACGATGGGCAGCTTGACTTTCATGAGGAAGCGTGTTCCAGGACCCCTGTGATGTGTGGAACCCCATCCACTCACCATCCCCCTAGTCCCTTCTGAAGTCAGCAAGGTTGCCAGGTTAGGATTGGGAAGGCAAATGGGGAGTGCATACTCATTAAATACAACATCGCTGCTCAAGTAGAGCAAAGCAATGTCACCATTATAGTTATCTGAGTCATAGTGTGGATGTATCCAGCTCTGTTGCACTTCAATCTTTTGTTCTTTCACTTCTCTCTGGTGTTTGTCAAAGTCTCCTGCAATTGAAAACAAAGATGTTAAAGAATTCTAAATCCCTTCTGTAAGAGTTTCATGGGGGAAGCCGCTGTGGTAGTAGATTAATGCTTTAACCTCCCAAATTAAATCAAAATAGGTTACAACACCCATGAACCTAAATATGGAGGTTACAGTCTAAAGCCAGCACTGCTACCACTTTATAATTTGGCATGACAAGATCTATGCACAGCAGAGGGTGGGGAGGGCGGAACTATCTGAAATTGTTTAGTGTGAGAGTTTATTGGGTCCTCACTACCATGCTCATGAAGAATTTAGATGCATTTTAAAACACCCACCACAATTTAACTACAGGCTCAAAACTGGTTGGAACTAGAACTAGCCGGTTTATTAGAATGAACACTGGACTGTTTGTTAATTTGCATGGAGACACAAGCCTGCTCAAAGTAGATAATGAAAGTCATGTGTCCTTTGAAATTTCACATCTTATTTTATGTCTACATGTGTATAGATAGAATCATAGAATATCAGGGTTGGAAGGGACCTCAGGAGGTCATCTAGTCCAACCCCCTGCTCAAAGCAGGACCAATTCCCAACTAAATCATCCCAGCCAGGGCTTTGTCAAGCCGGGCCTTAAAAACCTCCAAGGAAGGAGACTCCACCATCTCCCTAGGTAACGCATTCCAGTGCTTCACCACCCTCCTAGTGAAATAGTGTTTCCTAATATCCAACCTAGACCTCCCCCACTGCAACTTGAGACCATTGCTCCTTGTTCTGTCATCTGCCACCACTGAGAACAGCCGAGCTCCATCCTCTTTGGAACCCCCCCTCAGGTAGTTGAAAGCAGCTATCAAATCCCCCCTCATTCTTCTCTTCTGGAGACTAAACAGTCCCAGTTCCCTCAGCCTCTCCTCATAAGTCATGTGCTCCAGACCCCTAATCATTTTTGTTGCCCTCCGCTGGATTCTTTCCAATTTTTCCACATCCTTCTTGTAGTGTGGGGCCCAAAACTGGACACAGTACTCTAGATGAGGCCTCACCAATGTCGAATAAAGGGGAACGATCACGTTCCTCGATCTGCTGGCAATGCCCCTACTTATACAGCCCAAAATGCCGTTAGCCTTCTTGGCAACAAGAGCACACTGTTGACTCATATCCAGCTTCTCGTCCACTGTGACCCCTAGGTCCTTTTCTGCAGAACTGCTACCTAGCCATTCGGTCCCTAGTCTGTAGCAGTGCATAGGATTCTTCCGTCGTAATTGCAGGACTCTGCACTTGTCCTTGTTGAAAGGTAGATTAAGAGAAGAGGATACTGCTTAAAGTTTCCAGTGCTGCAGGTATTCAGAGCAACCAGTTTCCTCTCCAAGAAAACATTACTCCAATTCAAGAGGGAAGAAAAACTCACTAGCCTTTGTATGGTGGCTTGACTCTTCATAGGGATACAGGGCTCTTCTAATTAGGAATTTTCATGACTCCTAATACAACCAGTAGTGGATTTATCCATATAACACATTGTAAGGGAGGGAAGTACTATCCTCATTTTATATAGGAAGAATTGAGGCACAGAATAGATTAAGTCAGGGGTTCTCAAACTTCATTGCACCATGACCTTTGTTTAACAACAAAAATTACTACACGACCCCAGGAGGGGGGACTGAAGCCTGAGCCTACCCTAGCCCCCTCTGCCCTGGGTGAGGGGAGGGAGGGGCACAAAGCCCAAGGGCTCCAGCCCCAGGCCTGTAACCTGAGCCCCACTACCTAGGGCTTCAGTCCCAGGCCCCAGCAAATCTAAACCAGCCCTGGCAACCCCATTAAAACAGTTTGAGAACCACTGGATTAAGTGACTTGCCCAAGAAGTCTTTGGCAAAGCTGGGAATTAAACCCAAGTCTCACCTGTCCAAGTCCAGTGCCTCAACTACAGGCTATTTTCTTCCTCATCATCCAGTTCCCCCATTCCTGCTAAAGGAAATTAGAATCCTGCATACAGTTGCTAAGTAAGTTCTGCTGATTCAGTGAGGCAGATGTGACTTGTTACTTTCACCATGATAGACCATAAGAGAAACTAGCATGTTCTGCTCAGAGGGAACTAGGTGCACACACTAGATGGTCCTGCAGGAAACCCTACGAACAGCCAAACTTGGGCTGAGGTTTGTTTTATCATCAGTGGCTCTGGTAACCACAGGTTTGCCCTGTCAGCTATCTGCGGAAACCTGAAGCTGAAAGTAGCTCAATTCCTGCTAGCCAGTTCCATTACCATGGTCACAACAGAGCCTGCGTTTGCAGGGCTGGGAGTTAGAAAAAAATTCTTTCTATTTATAAACTGAGCAGTGAGAGTCAAGGAACTGGAACACCCCCGATGCCTTTCTAGTCACTTTTCAGAGCAGACTCATGCTTTCATAGTGTCTCCGGGAGTGTAGAGACGTTTCCAGTTGCGAGTTCACTCACCTACAGTAACATGATGTGGCTTAACAATCTCAAGGCAGTGGGCAGCAGTGACCACCCAGCGGCTGCTAATTAAACTCCCTCCACAGAAACCATAACCTCTGCTATTTCGGATAAGTACCTACAGTGAAAAAACAAGAGCAAGAACACACTCAACAGGACTTATTTAAATGTACTGTAGTAGTTCCCTAGAAAATACTACTAATTTTATGATACCAAGGATGAAAATGATTAGGACTAAATCCCAAATACTACACAGGTGTTCAGAATTAATCAGTGTGATATCACTAGGGTGGATGTGTCTAAGGAGTGTAATTATGGAAAATGATAAGATTGTAAGAACAGAGCAGAATAATCACCAGACCAGGATAGAAATTCAAGCAGAAGGCGATAACCAAAGTGGAGAGGTTAGTCTTGTAGGGAAAACAAATCTAATGTGAGCTCCAGTACTGGTTGCAAAGCTTTGGGAGATGCTAGAACAAAAGAAAGCAAGGTCAGTACCAAGAGACTATGATAGCCAAACAGTGCCTAGTTTAAAAAATGCTGTATATGAAGCTGCACAAGAAGAGCGAAAGTTAAGGGCCAAGACAAGAAACAGAAGTATTAGAAATAATGAAGAGGAACTGATCCTGAGCACCTGCAATTTTAGGTCAGTGGGAATTGGGGCCACTGAGCCAGCATCTCACAGGTCTCCAGATTTATAAAGTTGTGCAAAACCACACACAGAAAGGGCAAGGAAAAATGATATTGGACTTCAGGGTGAGCAGGGGGAGAGGGGGCAGATATCTCCCCAGGCCCCTCTTTTTAATATTAGATGTTCAGGTGTTGTCTACCCTGAATGGAGTGCTGGCTTTGCTAAAGAATCAACACCTTAAACACTTTAATTAAAAGGACTGAGAAAGATCAAAACACACATTCCCTGAAATTGCTAATAAGTCCTTCACCAAAGCTAAAGGAAACCAGACTTGATATTCCTCATATTTTTAAAGTTAAAATTAAAGAGGCGATGGGGAAGAAATGACTTTTTTGGGGGGAAAACAACAAACTTTCATGCCCTTTTTAAAAACAGTATCGTAAAGAAATCAAAAAGGGAACAAGCTATAAAATACAGCAGTACTACACGGTCAAGGCATAGCTATATGTGAACAAGTTTAAAGATGAGCATTAAACCTGAATGTTTGGTATTTCAGGACTTTTGTGAGCTTGATGCTTATAAATTTCAGCCCTGATTCTGAACTCTTTTACGGTGCTTTGGAACAGGAGTAGTGTCACACAAGTCACTGGAGTTACATCTGTGTAAAAGAGCCGAGACTCAGGCCCAGTTATTGTACTGTTAAAATATAAAGTAAAATGTGACCACAAAAGTGGCAAAGGACAATGAAGCAAGGGATGGCACTACCTTGGATTCTGTATTAGACCCGGGAGGGAAATTATTCACAAAGGGATCAAAAGAAAGCAAAGGTACAATATTGTAAAGATAGACCACTATAACAATGGTGTGCATTCAGAAGAAGGCAAGTTGCAGTTCACTAAATATAGAGCAGTCAATTGAGTGTTAAAAGCAGGAAAAAATCTTTAGCCATCAACTAATGAAGAGAGTACAAAATTTCTGGACTTCCCGCATTGATTTAGATGTAACTTTTCACTCATGGATCAATGAGCCATCATATATGACTTTATTTTGCTGGGATTTTCAAAGGAGCCTAAGAGAGTTAGGCAACCTTTAGCCCATATGTGACTCCTACTGAAGTCAATTTTTATTGGCTTTAAGGGGAGCTGGAGGAAGCCCTTAAATGAGAGTAGAAAGAAGTATGTTAAATCACATGTACCTAACTAATCGAGAGGTACTTCAGCTTGACAAAGTGGGTGAAGAGATCAGGTTGGCAGTAGAGAGGTAGACAAGGAAATACTAAATGAAACGCTTCATCTCATCTGTAATGTATCGCCAGACACCTTCAAAGGGAAACTCGCTTGACTAATCTATTGCTCTGAAAATAATAAGGGATCCAGAAGAACTTCAGATGACATTGTCACCTTGCCAAAAACACTGAAAGTTCTAGAAGCAGTGAACATGTAAAATAAGAAATACAGATGAAGAAGGCCAAACTCATTTTAATTACAGGTTTCAGAGTAGCAGCCGTGTTAGTCTGTATCCACAAAAAGAACAGGAGTACTTGTGGCACCTTAGAGACTAACAAATTTATTTGAGCATAAGCTTTCGTGGGCTACAGCCCACTTCTTTGGATGCATAGAATGGAACATATATTGAGGAGATATATATACACATACAGAGAGCATGAACAGGTGGGAGTTGTCTTACCAACTCTGAGAGGCCAATTAAGTAAGAGAAAAAATTTTTTGAAGTGATAATCAAGATAGCCCAGTACAGACAGTTTGATAAGAAGTGTGAGAATACTTACAAGGGGAGATAGATTCAATGTTTGTAATGGCTCAGCCATTCCCAGTCCCTATTCAAGCCTAAGTTGATTGTATCTCGTTTGCATATCAATTCCAGCTCAGCAGTTTCTCGTTGGAGTCTGTTTTTGAAGCTTTTCTGTTGCAAAATTGCCACCCGCAGGTCTGTCATTGAATGACCAGACAGGTTAAAGTGTTCTCCTACTGTTTTTTGAGTGTTATGATTCCTGATGTCAGATTTGTGTCCATTAATTCTTTTGCGTAGAGACTGTCCGGTTTGGCCAATGTACATGGCAGAGGGGCATTGCTGGCACATAATGGCATATAGCACATTGGTAGATGACAGACCTGTGGGTGGCATTGAATAGGGACTGGGAATGGCTGAGCCATTACAAACATTGAATCTATCTCCCCTTGTAAGTATTCTCACACTTACTTATCAAACTGTCTGTACTGGGCTATCTTGATCGTCACTTCAAAAGTTTTTTTCTCTTACTTAATTGGCCTCTCAGAGTTGGTAAGACGACTCCCACCTTTTCATGCTCTCTGTATGTGTATATTTATCCCCTCAATATATGTTCCATTCTATGCATCCGAAGAAGTGGGCTGTAGCCCACGAAAGCTTATGCTTAAATAAATTTGTTAGTCTCTAAGGTGCCACAAGGACTCCTGTTCTTTTAATTACAGATATGGCCAAAATCACACTGGATAGGAAAGGCTTAGGAGTCTTGTTCCCTGGGCTCACTGCCACATGCTGTTATAAGATAGGAAAATGAAATAAAGAGAAGCATCATGAGTGAATATAAAGGTCTGTGAAAAGCTCAGTATCTAAACAGTAAGTGCCTTTTCTGCTGATGAGAGACGGTATTCAAAACCATGATCCTATCAGGCAGGATGCATGGAACAGAAACACAGCCACATACCAAGCAGATGATGCAGAAGTTAAAATCTGAACAGTGATTCATGAAAATATTTGCCACTGACCATTGGGTAAGGAAGTAAACTAAGGGTATGTCTACACTACAGGATTAATCCGAATTTAGATAATTCGAATTTGGGAAACAGGTTGTATAAATTCGATTGTGCGCGGCCACACTAAGCACCTTAATTCGGTTTTAAACCACATTAATTCGGTGGTGTGCGGCCACACTACCCCATTAACTTAAACACAGTAATTCGGTGGTGTGCGTCCACACTAACCCTAATTCGAATTAACAAAATCGATTTAGGCTCTACTCCGTTCGTCGAGGTGGAGTACAGAAATCGATTTAAAGGGCCATTTAATTCGAATTAACTGGCTCTGTAGTGTGGACGGGTGAAGGGTTAATTCGGATTAAGGCAGCTAAATCCGAATTAAAGTCCTAGTGTAGACCAGGCCTAAGGTGAAGTACATGTTGTTAGACTGACGATGATTGGTTGGCTGTACTGCAAGAAGAGGCGCTATGATAGACTATATTTAGGATCCCATGTACACCAATGAATGAGGTACAGTAACTCCTCACAACGTTGTCCCGGTTAACATTGTTACGTTGCTGATCTATTAGGGAACAAGCTCGTTTAAAGTTGCGCAATGCTCCCTTCTAATGTCATTTGGCAGCTGCCTGCTTTGTCTACTGTTTGCAGGATTCTCTGGAAGAGCAGCCCCTCCCCGAGGGGATTAGAACCGGGGGGGCTGGCAGCCCCCCCTCCCATCAGCTCCTCTAAATTCCCTGTAAGGTATTTGGCTCGGCAGCTGCCCAGCAGCAGTTCAGCTGTCCCTCCCCTCACTGCTGTGCTGCTCCTGCCCTCTGCCTTGGAGCTGCTCCCAGGAGCTTCCTGCTTGCTGGGGGAGGGAAGGAGAGGGTTGCTGATATCAGGATGTTCCCCTGCTCCTGCCCCCCACTCCGTACCCTCCCCCCTCCACAAAGTGGAGGACGGGGACAGGGCTCGGGGACAGAACGGAGGGAGCTTGCTGGAAGGGGGGAGGGATAGCTCAGTGGTTTGAGCATTGGCCTGCTAAACCCAGGGTTGTGAGTTCAATCCTTGAGGGGGCGATTTGGGGATTTAGTTGGGGATTGGTCCTGCTTTGAGCAGGGGGTTGGACTGGATGACCTCCTGAGGTCCCTTCCAACCCTGATATTCTAAGCTGTTGCTTCCTGTCAGAACTAGCTGATCTGCTTAAAAGGGCAATGTACTTGAAGTGGCATCAGCATACTTAAAGGGGCAATGCACATCTCTCTCTCTCACTCATGCATGCACCCCCCAGCACTTTGGAAAGTCAGCATCTGTGCAGCCGTGCATGTGCTGTCAGGAGGCGGGAGTGGTGCGCTCCAGCTGGATAGTGTGGGCTCATCATCATGTTCAGTTTTTGCAAGGAAGTGTTTGCAGCTACTGACCTGCATCTATTGTGTTTCCTCCCTCCTGCCTCAGTCCATGCTGCCTTGTAGAGCGTGAGGCTACATTAACAACAGCGTACTAACCCTTGAGGGCTCAGCCGAGTGCTAGTTCATCATTTAGCAGCAAGGCATTCCCTGGGAAATATCCCACCCTCTTCTCTTACTCTACCACCTCAACCAAGCTTCACAATCATTCATTGCTGTGTACAATATTAAACTGTTTGTTTAAAACTTATATTGTATATGTATATAATGTCTTTTGTCTGGCGAAAATTTTTTCCCTGGAATTTAACCCCCCCCCACACATTTACATTAATTCTTATGGGGAAATTGGATTCGCTTAACATCGTTTCACATAAAGTTGCATTTTTCAGGAACATAACTACAACGTTAAGTGAGGAGTTACTGTAACCACAGTGTGGGCCACCAAAAAAGAAGCTTCAGATATACACTGAGGATCTACGTGGTTCTGTTTGGCCCTGAACAGGGATACTTGGCAACACCTTGATGAGGTCCTGGCTATGGCACAGAGTGAGCAGTGATAAGGGAAGGAGATGCCGTGTTCATGACTCAATATGCAAGAGAAATGTTACCTGCCAGGGACAGTGGCCACGATGGCAGAAAGATCCCCCAGTGATCCTGGTATCATCATGCTCTGCAGTTTGGTAGACATTTGTCCAGCTGTGTAGATCTCCATCTGTCAGGATTCCTTCAGCTTCGGTCTGATTGAGGCCGTCGTGCACATTCTGCCCCTCTGCTGACGTATTGAGTTCAGGGTCGCCCCCCTCCACCGACCCATTGAGCCCAGAGGTGTCCCCCTCTGCCATCCCACTGAGCGCAGGGGCGTGCCCCTCTGCTGTTTCATTGAGTTTTGGGGTGCCCCCCTCTGTCATCCAGTTGAGCCCAGGGGTGCCACCCTCTGCCGACCCATTGAGCCTGGGGGTCTCCCCTTCTGCTGACTCATTGAGCCCAGGGCCGGAGCCCCCCTCCACTGACTCATTGAGCCCGGGGGCGGCACCCCCCTCTGCTGACTCATTGAGCCCGGGGGCAGCGCCCCCCTCTGCCATCCAGTTGAGACCAGGAGTGCCCCCCTCCACTGACTCATTGAGCCCGAGGGCGCCCCCCTCCACTGACTCATTGAGCCCAGGGGTGCCCCTGTCTGCTGACTCATTGAGCCCAGGGGCGGCGCCCCCCTCTGCCATCCAGTTGAGCCCAGGAGTGCCCCCCTCCACCAACTCATTGAGCCCAGGGGCGCCCCCCTCCACCAACTCATTGAGCCCGGGGGCACCCCTCTTCACCTTCCCGTTGAGCCTGGGGGCTCCCCCCTCCACCATCCCATTGAACCCAGGGACAACTTCCTCCAAAGCACGCATGGATCTTTTAATCAGCCCACAGGGAAACTGAGCTGAAAAATAAGAAAAACAGCCTTTGGGTTTAAGTGTCAAGTTTTGATCCCTAAACTAATTCTGCTCCTCTTCAGCTGTCTGAAGATGAACCATTGACCACCCATTAATCCTTCCCATCATCCAAATGCAAGTGAAGGGACGTACAATGGGTATCAACTCCTGATAGATCAAACACATTGCCTCCACTGGTTCCTAGGCTCTAGGAACCCCGTTACTCATGCCAAGTGCTTTTACTCATTGTACTGTGAGCGGCTGTGTCTGGTACCTCCCCAGGCTCCCTGTCTGGTCACCGAGTCAGCGGTGTACTCCCTGCACTACACAGCACAGTGTGGAGTAATCTCCTTTTCCTTTGCCCAGGAATTCCTCCCTGCTGAGATAATGTTGGCAGAGCCTGAAAGTCCTAGAGGGATATTTGGGCTTCGAGATCAGAGTTTGCCTTCAGTAAAGGGAGTGGAATAAACACAGTGGAGAAAAAGCCAGATTTTCCAGGCTTGCTGGTGTTTCCATTGGTAAATGAGTATACTTCAATTCTACATCACAGCAACCAGTTTTTCCCATAGATTCATTGGTGCATGTGACAGTCCAAGGGCAAGTGGGCAACCCAATGAAGAGGGAAGGGCAGTGGCTGTAAACCTGTCCTGCTCTTCACTCTAAGTAACCCAGAGTCATTACCTGATTGCGTACACCTCTTTCCGTCATCACCCAGGGCATAACCCGCCGCACAGGAGCACACCACACGAAGGGAGTGTGCGGTGTCTTGGCAATACTGCCAGCAGCCGCCGTTCTTGTACCAGCATTCAAACTTCTCTGCAGGGGAAAGACATTGAATCATTTTGCTTATTGTTAGGAAAGGGCCCAGTAGCACATCAGCTTCTCAGCAGCAGGGCTGTAACAAACAAATGGAGCCAATGGCAGAGAAGAAATACAGCTCTATGCTATTTGATCTACTGCTTTGGAGGACAGAAGTAAAACCACATCCCACAATTTAACTGAATGGCCAAGATTTGTGTGACTTTGACATACACTGTCTTAATCCTTTCCCTCCCCTTGCTCATTTATTATTTGTATTACAGTAACATCTAGACACTACAAGAGGATTGGGGCCCCACTGTGCTAGGTGTTATCCTGACAGAGTGAGAGGCAGGGCTGGATTAATGCAGAGGCTTTAGGGGCTGAAGCCCAGGGCCTCAGGCTAAGGGGGGCCTGCGGGTCAGATGCAGCCTGCTGTTTCTTTTCATCTGGCTCACGGCAAGTCTCTGCGCCGTGGGCCGGACACCAGTCCCCGAGCCTCGGTGCACCCCCCAGGGCTGAAGCCGCAAGCACCAGCTCGCCAAGGTGCCCCTGTGGCCCGTAGGCGAAGGGCATTCAGGGAATCTCTGCATGCTGCCCCCAGCACCAGCTCCACAGCTCCCATTGGCACAGAGCAGCTTGGCCCCTCTGCCTAGGGGCCAGACATGCCGGCCACCTCAGAGAGCAGAGCAACGCAGAGCCAGGGCAGGCAGGGATACTGCCTTAGCCCTGCTGCACCACTGACCAGGAGCCGCCTGAAGTAAGCGCCTCCCGGCCAGAGCCTGCACCCCGCACCCCATCCTGCATCCCAACCCCGTCCCATCCTTGGCCCCACCCCAGAGCCCAACTGCCCCAGCTGGAGCTGCACCCCCTCCTGCACCCCAATCCCCTGCCCCAGCCCTGAGCTCACTCCCTCACTCCAACACCCCAGCAGCCCCACAAAATCTAATAGCCCTAGGCGAGTTAATCCAGCCCTGCCCTGAAGAGTTTACAGTACTATCTATCTCCCTTCTGCAGTTAGTCTGTAAGCGCCTGGGGGTAGGGAAGATGCCTTCACTTGTTTCTGGGAGGTGCTGAACATATTGGTGCACTTGAAAAGATAATAAATAATAGCAACATTGCTGTAATGAGATGCATTTGGCAAACATAGGTGAATGAAACTTCACTGGGAAGATCATTATGGACAAAGAAAGAGTCACTCGTAATTTTTTAGTTCCCACTTCTAGTTATTCTGGGCAGTAATTTCCTGCCGTGTTCTTTCTTGCAGACTGTAGATGGTGTTTCAGAGGGGAAGGAATCAGAAGGTTTTTTTTTTAAAAAGGCAATAGTGCCACCATTTTGTTCTAGAATGGTTCACGTAACATGAACTTAGCACATATTGTTTCTCCATGTTTGTATTGTACACTGAGTGTTGGCTAGCGTGTCTGATTCATAGATTCATAGACTCTAGGATTGGAAGGGACCTCGAGAGGTCGAGTCCAGTCCCCTGCCCTCATGGGCATTTGATGATACATTTGATGAAGCTGATTACTAAGATAATGGAGCCCCAGTCCATGCAGCTCTGTGATCACAGCATATGTTTCTGTGGTATTAGGGCACTGGAGGAGCTGTGCCTCAATCAGATCAATGGAGTTAATAATAATGTCTTCTTTATAGGTGCAATTCAGCCCTGCTCAGATAGCCAGCACAAGTGCCTAGGGTGAATTTCACCCTTTATCCTTTCTTCAAGAGAATGCCTGTGTGCATTTCCACACTCACCTATTTCACACTGCTTTCCTCCGAACAGTGGGGGACAGATACAGAAATAATCGTAGTGTTTCAGTTTGCAGACGCCACCGTTCTTACAGGGATTTTCTTTGCAGGGATTTAAATCTGTTTGGAAGAAGAGACGCACATTGTGCTACCTTGTCACATACAGGGCCGGCTCTGGCTTTTTTGCCGCCCCAGGCAAAAAAGCCTCCGGCCGCCCGCCCCCCCTCTGCAGGGGGGGGGAGGGAGGCCGGAGCCCCGGGGGGAGGGTGGCAAGCCCCGGCGGGGGCTCCGCTCTCCCCCCGGCGGCCGGGGGGAGGGCGCCAGGGGGAGGGCGGCCGGAGCCCTGGGAGGAGGGCGGCGAGCCCCGGCGGGGGCTCCGCTCTCCCCCCGGCGGCCGGGGGGAGGGCGCCGGGGGGGAGGGCGGCCAGAGCGCCGGGGGAAGGGCGGCGAGCCCGGCCGTGGCCCCGCTCTCCCCGGGGGCCGGAGCGCCGCGCCGCCCCCCTCCAGGTGCCGCCCCAAGCACAAGCTTGGTGGGCTGGTGCCTGGAGCCGGCCCTGGTCACATCACATACAGTTCCGTGACTTAGCAAAGGCCTGGCACGAGGAAGCTGACATGCATTCTGTCTGGGTCTTCTCTCCACACTGCCTCGTGGCAACCAACAACAGCATAAGAAAATCTCCCCCGCTCCTACCTTTGTAAACAAACCAAAACTCCATCTGCAAGAAATAATCACAAGAGAGGAAAACATTAATTAATAGGGCAAGACACATTATCTACTGACTATAGGAAATAGGAAATAATGGTCCCTGTAGCATTTTTCCTTAACTAATCTATATTGTGGCTGTGGGTTCTCCCTTAGCTGCTGAGAGCACCTCTTTCGCTAGCCAGTTAACCACTGGGCCAAAGTGACAGTTAACTGGTTAAACTAGTAGTGAACCAGGTAGCGAGTGACAGATTATTTTCCTTGCTTTTGCTTTGGAAAATACAACATGGAAAGGCATAAGGATTTCCCCAAAGATTTTCCTTTTTTAACTTGCCAGTAGCCAAGAATCCTAATTCCTGTGTTCAGAGACTGAAACTTCTGATCTTCTAGCCTCTTAATTTATCATCTGCGGCTCTCAAATAAGATTCTATTAAAGAGTTTAACAGGTAACCACCCAATCAGCTGGTTGTAGATAATTGTACTTCTCTTTGTTAAGTGCTAAGCTAGCCCATCTCTGGTCTTGACAGATCCTGTACCTCCTTTATATTGTTTCCTATATCTGGGGTGGTGAGGGCTCCCCAATGCCCTGCATCTGAAGTAAGCTGGTGGGATCTCCAGAATCAGCAAGGACAGTATTGACATTGGCCAAGATTTTCAAAGTTGATTAGTAGTTTTGGGTACCCAACCTCAGGCACTTTAAAGGGACCCAATGTCCTGACAGTGCTCCACATCTACCCACTGAGAATCGCCCTTCCACACGTCTCAAGTGGGACATCCAAAAAATCACCCGTTGTCTTTGAAAATCTTGATTTCCTTCATGGCATGTTTCAGTAGCACTGAATTATTCAACCAGCTTTCTTGGCACCTTATTTGATGCTTTGCAATTCATCAGAAACCTGGAGTAAAAACTCATGTTCCTTAGAAATGGGGGAATAGGACATCATAGCCTGTCTGTGCTCTTTTGTTAAGGTTACATAATTTCTGGGTTGTTTTTTTTATGCTTAATTACATTTTTGGAATTAGCTAATAATAATGATCAAAATTATAATTTTTTCTACCATTAGCATTCTGGTGGCCTTTGGCCTTGTGGTTTATCATATGTAGGGCCCAACCAAATTCACAGCCATGAAAAACGTGTCACGGACCGTGAAATCTGGTCTCCCACTGTGAAATCTGGTCTTTTGTGTGCTTTTACCCTATACTACACAGATTTCACAGGGGAGACCGGCATTTCTCAAATTGGGGTTCCTGACCCAAAAAGGAGTTGCAGGAGGGTCACAAGGTTATTTTTAGCAGGGGTCATGGTATTGCCACCCTTACTTCTGTGCTGCCTTCAGAGCTGGGCAGCCGGAGAGTGGCGGCTGCTGACTGAGGGCCCAGCTCTGCAGGCAGTAGCGCAGAAGTAAGGGTGACAATACCATACCATACATCCTTACTTCTGCATTGCTGCTGGCGTCTGACATGGGGGCCGCCCAAGCGACTGGCTGCAGAGCCGCTCCAGGAGCAGCCGATGTTCTCCAGCTGCTCAGCTCTGAAGGCAGCGCTGCTGCGAGCAGCAGCACTGAAGTAATGGTAGCAGTACCACAACCCACCCCTACAATAACCTTGCAAGCCCCCCACAACTCCTTTATGGGTTAGGACCCCTACAAATTACAACACTGTGAAATTTCAGATTAAGATAGCTGAAATCATGAAATTTATGATTTTTAAAACCCTATGACCGTGAAATTGACCAAAATGGACTGTGAATTTGGTAGAGCCCTAATCATATCTAAGGCTACGATTTAGTCATGGGTATTTCTAGTAAAAGTCATGGACAGGTCACAGGCAATAAACAAAAATTCATGGCCTGTGACCTGTCCATGACATACTATAAATACCCCTGACTAAATCTTTGGGGGGCCACTACTGGGGGGAGGGGTGCCCTGGGGGCCGCTGCCAAGGGGGGGGCAGCGGCACCAGCTGCCGGGGTCCGCTGAGCAGCAGCTGCTCTGGCCGCCCCAGGACTGATGCCAGGGGTTCTGGACAGTGGCAGCTCCGGCCGCCCCAAGGACTGCTGCTCAGGCGGCCCCTGGGGCCAGTCGCACCGGCTGCTGCTTGGGCGTTCTCTGGGGCCAGCTGCCCGGGGCCACTCCAGCAGCGGCTCTGGGGTTGTCTGGCTGGGGGGCAACCCAAGCGGCTGGCTGTGGAGCCGCTGCAGCAGCAGCTGGTGTGGCTGTCCGCGGGCCCACCTGAGCAGCTGGCCCCAGAGCCAGCTGCTTGGACGGCCCTCGGGTCAATCACACCAGCTGCTGCTGCAGCGGCTGCAGGAGTCATGGAGGTCGTGGAAAGTCACAGAATCCGTAACTTCTGTGACCTCCTTGACAAACACAGAGCCCTAATCATATCAATGGAAATCCTGGGTGAGAACACTCCCAACTGATCAGCTATTGCTCGCTGCTTTTTCTGAAGTGAAATGCCTCACCGTTTTCTCCTGCGATTGGAAAATCTCCTTTGCCTCCTCGAAGGAGCATGTTTCCTCAGTGCATTCTCTCTCCAAGTTCCCTGGGTGAATTTCCTCCAGGAACTGGTTAGCGCGTTTACGGATCTTCAGCACCTGGTGTGCTTCTTCTTTTCTCATAAACACTATGAAAACAAAATTGGATCCGACCATTAATGCTGTCACAGGAAGCCAAAGCTTCATCTTTAGGATAGAAATGAGTCATTTATGCTTTAACTTGGCTAAATAACACAGTGGAGGAGACAACTTTCAAAAAATCAAAACAGACTTAAGGACAACTTTACTCAGTTTGTCTATGCCCCAACAAAGAGTCAGTATTCCACTAGGCGGTGAGCAGCTGACTAGTATTTCAGTGGATTAAAAGAATACTTCATTTAAAAGGACCCAGCCTCAAAATTCATGAGGTTGGGTTAAAGTTCATTTATTTGTGCTAATGACCAGGCATAGTGTTCGGCAGGTCTCAGTTAATCAAGGACTTACTGTGTCCAAATGAAATAAATAAAACTTATCTAAATATTTTATGTCCAAAATATAAAAACAGAATGTTCAGTCTCTCTGCTGTGTCACCTCAGAGATGAAGCCAAAACCCAGGACAAGAAAAACTCAGTAGAAATGAAAGAGAACACCCTGAATATATATCTCAATAAAGCATACCCATCTTCCCGTTATAATGCTTTTTGGCAGAACATTTCTTCCAGTTTAAAGCAACTTTGGACAAAAAAAAAAAAAAGCTTCTGATAGAACATAGCAGTGGAGGAAAGTCTACAATACGTCACCTCCACCTGCTTAGCTATTGCTTACAATCGCCTTTGTGAGAACATCAGTGCCTATAGATAACACCTTAAAAGAAAACTGCTACCACTTGGCTTCATGCAGCATTGTGAAAAGTTCCCCACCTATCCTTTGCTTGGGCAGTGACATCACTCTCTTCCCATTTTGGCTAAAACATTCTGTAGAGATTGTCAATTGCATGTCAAATGTTTGGTTTGGCATATCTGAATTTCACAGGGACTGTTGTCACTCTCCTGTTGAACAGTGGCCCTGGAGAAATGGGGGACCAATATCAGAAGTTGTTAAGCAGTTTTTAGTCTCCTGTAGTTAAGCAATTGTATCACTGCACCTCTGCTGTGTGAGACAATACTGCAATTCCTGAGTCAGTAAATTACTAGCCCTGGGATCCCGGAACCCAATGAAAGAAATTAGATTGTTATTACTAGCTCATCTTAAAAGAAACCCCAAAAACCATAGGAATCGTAATCAGCAGCTTCACTGAATGAGTGAAAGGGAACTTCCCGCTCACTGAGCCAGGAGGAGCTCTCCAAAGCTTGTCTCAGCTGGGAGTCTCTCTGGGCTAAATTTTCAACCTGGCTGCCTGAAGTGAGCCACTTAAATACAATTTGAAGCACTTAAATGCTGATATACGCTCTGATCCTGCAATCAGATGCATGAGGCTTTTTGTTTCCTTTGCCATTCCAGTTGCAGGATTGGGTCCTTTGTCAGGAGGCACTGTGGGGTCCAGGGGATAGTGCACTGGGCTGAGAGTCAGGAGACCTGAGTTCTGTTCCCAGCTGACTTGTGTATTTTGGCAGGTCACTTCATTTCTCATTACAGCTCTACAAAATGGGGTTAATGATACCTGCCTTTGTGAAGCGCTTTGTGGGCTACGTAGGAAAAGCACTACAGAACAGCAAAGTAGTAGTATTAAATCACCACAGGTTCCTAAAACACAGATTTAGGTGCCTCACTTTGGTCACCCAAGTCTGAGAACGTGGCCCTCTGTGCATAACTCATTGGATCCTATAAGTCCAGCATCACAAGGAGGTTACTGGGCCTCAAGTAGGAAGCCCAGATATGGTGAGTTCATTAATAACTATGAATTAATTCTCATTTTTCTCCTGTGCATTTCAGGAAGTGCCACTGGCCAGCTGAACCTTCAAGACGCTGTGCTCAGAAAATGGGTGCAGTGTAATTTTAAATGCAGCCTCTCGGTGTGAGAAAGTGAAGTTAAAATGTAGGTTAGAAGTCCCTACCTGAAAATGAAACTGACCAGCTGCTGTAGATGGAACACATTAGTAAGAGAAATGTCACAAGTAAGGAACCTCTAGCCATTTTCGTGGCCATGCAGAATCCTCTGGTTTACAGATGGTCCCCTGCTGGGAGAAAAGGAGAATGAAGTAGACAGATCCTGGACAAAAACAAGCAGAGATCAACACATAGTGAAAGAGAGAGAGAGGGAAAATGGACTCAAGGGAAAAAAGGAGGAGGCAATACAGAAAAAAACTAGGTTTTGTTAGTCTTATTCATCTGACTCCATTTGTATTCTCTCTCCAAGTGACTGACGGTGCACATTGTAATAGGAAGCCAAATGCTCCACTCACAAGGCAAAGTGTACAGACTGACAGAACCCAGGAAAGTTGCAGAGGATAAAGAGCCTGAGCCAAGTCCATGGAAAGACACTGATTGACTTCAACGGGCTTTGGATCAGGCCCAAACTGAGCAGAAACCAGTTCTGACAGCCCTGTTTAAAGTCTATGGAGAACCTCACACCCAGCTCTGGCTTACACATTGACTAGTCGAGCCTGGTGTCTATTAGCTGCTGTTGAGCTCCTGATGGGCTTGTCAAGTGAGATCCAAATGCTAGACTTTTACACAGTGAGCCACCCGCCAATGCAAGTCCACAGGACAGCAACACACACCTGCCAGTAAGGGTTCTGAGAGGGAATGATGGGATCTCTTCACACAGTCATCAAATACTAGGGAACCTTGCGAGCGGGTCAGTGCAGACTGTTTTGGGACACCGACAGCCCCTTCTAAAAGCCAGGGCCCAGAATACATTCGCATTTTGAAAGCGCTGTAATTATAAACACTTACCGTTTTAGGGCACTAGAAGTAATATTTGGATGAACACCAAAGACAGAGATGGGGGCCTGGAGGTTGATCATTAACCTATCACAAATATTGACAGAGGAAGCAAAGCCCTTTTGAGTCCATGGAGCCAACCTGCACTCTAAAGCAAAAATGTTTTGTTCCATCTTTAAATCCTGCACTAAAGGCTGTTTCCCTGCAGTGTGCTTCTTGGGGAGGGTTTTGGTTGTATCATTTATGCTTTTGTGGGAGGGCTTCTGAAATCCCGTCTTTTGGTGGTGCATTGGTATCACCTGGTTTGAATGACCCATGAAACTTTGAGCTCTGTAAATATCTGCTGCAATGGGTGACCCTCAGATTCGTGTGTGGGCAGAAGGATTCAGAGGAGCCATTTGCTGGAAGGCAAATGTTGCCCTGTGATAATCATGGCTATTCATGTTTGCTGCCTTTAGTTGGAACCTTGGCTTAGAAGCTTTGACAAGGTTATTACTAATAGACGAGGCAGATCCTTCCTTCTAGCTCAGTAGGTAGCAGCCCCAATTCGCTCAGGTGCAAAGGTCCCTGGGGTTCAATTTCTTGCAAATGCTTCCCTATCAAGAAACATAATCCTGCATTAATATCCTTAGTTACTCCCTCCGCCTTAATTCTAGTCCCAAATGAAACACACTGTGAAAAGAGCAAGTGTGTTTCAGAGGAGTCCAGGACAGCACCAAGCATTTGCCTTTCTCTAGCGTTCCACTGGACCTGCTTCAGGGAAGCATTTAAGCACATGCTTAACTTTAAGCATGTGAGCAGTCCCACTGAAATCAATGCGACTACTTACATTCATTAAAAAAAGGGCATTTCTGAATGGGGATTAGATTTCTTACAAGTATTTGCACATGTGCGTTACAACTGGATCACCATGTTCCCTGATCCAAGCTGGGAAGGGTGGGTGAGATGCTATCATCATTTACCATGGTGCCTGAATTGTTTGATTTCTTGAAGGCTCATCTTTACTCTCTGCAGTAACATTTATTTTACCAGGTTTAGGGACGAAGGCAAAGCCTACAAAATGTGATTATGTTTAATTTTAGTTTGACTATGAGTCAATCTTGTGATGCTTACCAGTGATTTCCCTACACCCCCCCTGAATTTCCCCAACCTCCCCCCCTCAGTTTTGTGAACTAGTTACATGCCAAACCTGGTGGCTGAACTTTGCGACTTTGTCCTCACCCACAACTATTTCACGTTTGGGGACAATTTATACCTTCAAGTCAGCGGCACTGCTATGGGTACCCGCATGGCCCCATAGTATGCCAACATTTTTATTGCTGACTTAGAACAACGCTTCCTTAGCTCTCATCCCCTAATGCCCCTACTCTACTTGCGCTACATTGATGACATCTTCATCATCTGGACCCATGGAAAAGAAGCCCTTGAGTAATTCCACCATGATTTCAACAATTTCCATCCCACCATCAACCTCAGCCTAGACCAATCCACACAAGTGATCCATTTCCTTGACACTACTGTGCTAATAAGTGATGGTCACATAAACACCACCCTATACCGGAAACCTACTGACCGCTATACTTACCTACATGCCTCCAGCTTCCATCCAGGACACACCACACGATCCATTGTCTACAGCCAAGCTCTAAGATACAACGGCATTTGCTCCAATCCCTCAGACAGAGACAAACACCTACAAGATCTCTATGAAGCATTCTTAAAACTACAATACCCACCTGCTAAAGTGAAAAAACAGATTGACAGAGCCAGAAGAGTACCCAGAAGTCACCTACTACAAGACAGGCCCAATATAGAAAATAACAGAACGTCACTAGCCATCACCTTCAGACCCCAACTAAAACCTCTCCAGCGCATCATCAGAGATCTACAACCTATCCTGAAAGATGATCCCTCACTCTCACAGATTTTGGGAGACAGGCCTGTCCTCGCTTACAGACAACCCCCCAATTTGAAGCAAATACTCACCAGCAACCACACACCACAGAACAAAAACACTGACCCAGGAACCTATCCTTGCAACAAAGCCCGATGCCAACTCTGTCCACATATCTATTCAAGTGACACCATAATAGGACCCAATCGCATCAGCCACACCATCAGGGGCTCGTTCACCTGCACATCTACCAATGTGATATATGCCATCATGTGCCAGCAATGCCCCTCTGCCATGTACATTGGCCAAACCGGACAGTCTCTACACAAAAGAATAAATGGACACAAATCAGACATCAGGAATCATAACATTCAAAAACCAGTAGGAGAACACTTCAACCTCTCTGGCCATTCAGTAACAGATTTAAAGGTGGCAATTTTGCCACAGAAAAGCTTCGAAAACAGACTCCAACTAGAAACTGCTGAACTTGAATTAATATGCAAACTAGATACAATCAACTTAAGCTTAAATAGAGACTGGGAATGGCTGAGCCATTACACACATTGAATCTATTTCCCCATGTTAAGTATCCTCACAGCTTCTTGTCAAACTGTCTCAAATGGGCTATCTTGATTATCACTACAAAAGTTTTTTTTCTCCTGCTGACAATAGCGCATCTTAATTAATTAGCCTCTTAGAGTTGATTGGGCAACTCCCACCTTTTCATGTTTTCTGTATGTATATATATCTCCTCATTATATGTTCCATTCTATGCATCCGTTGAAGTGGGCCCACAAAAGCTTATGCTCAAATACATTTGTTAGTCTCTAAGGTGCCACAAGTACTCCTGGTTCTTTTTGCGGATACAGACTAACACGGCTGCTACTCTGAAACATGCCAATTTAGTGACTGTTTGGAAATTTGAATTGAAATTGAAACACTAATACACACTTTAAAAGCATATACAGTGTATGATAAAATATGTGTATCTGAAAGTATAATAGATTTGAAAAGTATGAACATAGACTAGCTTCCTTATACGGCTGTTGTTTTTTATGACAATGTCAGTGCATTCATTTCGGTGATGTTGGCCAACCTAATAATTTCAAATGATGATTTGTAAGCAAAGTCTAAATGAGCTCTCCCTGACAGCTAATGATGAGCTGGGGGAAAAGGCTTCAGGACCAGATTGTATTTACATTCACACCTAATCTACCTAGGTATCCAGCAAATAAAGCTGTGTTGCCTAAGTGATAGATTTTGGCTGGGGTTGGGTTACAAATCACTTGAATGCGGGGATGGGGGGGAATGAAATGTTGTTGTTCTCATTGTGTGAGTAAAGGGCAGTAGAACTGTACTCAGCCTGTGCTGATTGAGGGCATCAAGAGAGAGGGTGGGGACCTGTCCCTCTCCACTGTTTAAAGACAGAGCTGATTAGGCTCCATAGATAGTCTTTTGTTCTGTTAAGTGACCACTGCAGCTGAAATCACTGATAATCAGGTCTAAGTGCTCAGTCTTGCTGTGGGGACAGTGTTTCTGTGGAAGAGACAGCCCAGTCTGCACTAGCAGCAAGGTTCCCCCACTGAGAGCTCAGCTGAAATCACTGAGAGCTGGGTGGAACCTCAAGAGACCAACTCGCAGAGGTCACAGTGGCAGGTGGCAGCAGAAGGTGACTGTGCAGGGCCATTGGCAACAGAGTGGTGGAGTGAACGGTGGCACAACAAACAGTCGTGGCCAGAGCGAACAGTGAGCAGCTGGAGGAATGAGCAAGGTGCCATCTTGCCCCCCACCTGGGAGGTGAACTCACGTGAAAGCACCTCTGAACTCTAAGTCTCTACTGACCAAGGACAACACTGGTGAGTGGGGTGCGGTGGAGGGAAAAGTGAGGGGCACATTAAATAAACATTTGTTTGTTGGACTATATTTTAGTGATTTTGCTCCAGAATGCTAGATTTGTGACTGGGAATGGAAACTTATATAAATATGTTTCCTAGTAGGCCAAGATTTTTAAAATGCATTATTTGCCAAGATTGTTATCTCACATTGTTGCTATCTTGAGAGGTCATTATGTTGGGGAGTTTCTGTACTAAACATTTTTATTATTATAATTAATTTTTACATAAGAATGGTCATACTGGGTCAGACCAATGGTCCATATAGCCCAGTATCCTGTCTTCCAACAGTGGTCAAGGCCATGTGCTTCAGAGGGAATGAACAGAACAGGTAGTCATCAAGTGATCCCTGTTGCCCATTCCCAGCTTCTGGCAAACAGGCTAGGGACACTCAGAGCATGGTGTTGCATCCCTCCCCATCCTGGCTAATAGCCACTGATGGACCTATTCTCCAGGAATTTATCTAGTTATTTTTTTAATCCTGTTATAGTTTTGGTCTTCACAGCATCCCCTGGCAAAGAGTTCCACGGGTTGATTTTATGTTGTGTGAAGAAGTACTTCCTTTTTTTTTTTTTTTTTTAAACCTGCTGCCTATTAATTTCATTGGGTGACTGCTAGTTCTTGTGTTATGTGAAGGATTAAATAACATTTCCTTATTCACTTCTTCACACCAGTCAAGATTTTATAGACCTCTATCATATCCCCCCTTAGTCGTCTCTTTTCTAAGCTGAAAATTCCCAGTCATTATAATTTTCCTCCTGTTTCATACCCCTAATCATTTTAGTTGCCCATCTCTGTACCTTTTCCATTTCCAATATATCTTTTTTGGGATGGGGTGACCAGATCTGCACACAGTATTCAAGGTGTACACGTACCATGGATTTATATAGAGGCAATATGATATTTTCTGTCTTATTATCTATCCCTTTCTTAAAAAAGCAAAGGTTTCAGAGTAGCAGCCGTGTTAGTCTGTATCCACAAAAAGAACAGGCGTACTTGTAGCACCTTAGAGACTAACAAATTTATTTGAGCATAAGCTTTCGTGGGCTACATCCAATGAAGTGGGCTGTAGCCCACGAAAGCTTATGCTCAAATAAATTTGTTAGTCTCTAAGGTGCCACAAGTACTCCTGTTCTTTTTAAAAAAGCAAACAGAATGTTGGGAATCATTGACTGCCGCTACACATTGAGTGGATGTTTTCAGAGAACTATCCACAATGACTCCAAGATCTCTTTCTTGAGTGTTAACAGCTAATTCAGACTCCTTCATTTTGTATGTATAGTTGAGATTGTTTTCCAATGTGCATTACTTTGCATTTATCAACATTGAATTTCATCTGCCATTTTTGTTGCCCAGTCACCCAGTTTTGTGAGATCCCTTTGTAACTCTTCGCAGTCTGCCTGGGACTTAACTATCTTGAATAGTTTTGTATCATCTGCAAATTTTGCCGCCTCACTGTTTACCCATTTTTCCAGATCATTTATGAGTATGTTGAACAGTAATGGTCCCAGTACCAACCCCTCAGGGATACCACTATTTATCTCTCTCCATTCTGAAAACTGATAAAATTTATTCCTACCCTTTGTTTCCCATCTTTTAACCAGTTACTGATCCATGAGAGGACTTCCCTCTTATCCCATTATGGCTTACTTTTCAAAAGTCAATTTAAATTAAATACATATTTTTTTTAAAAAATTATTTTTTTTAGAAATCTAGACCTGTTATGTGTTTTGGTGTAACTTGCATTATCCTTATGTTAAATTTGCATTATCCTAACAAAACATTTACTTTATTCATATCTCTTTTATATATCTCATCGGTCCTGACACCCCCCCTGTAAATTCGGACACCCCCCTAATTTCAATTCCTGGGGAAACCACTGATGCTTACTGATTACACAGATCTGTAAATAAAGTAACAGAACTGGTTGCAATCTCTATACCAATGAAGGGACATTAACAAAATACACGTGGTTTTGTCCAATAATTGCGAGACAAGGGAATCACATGTGCATCATTCATCTGGGTGTGTTGTAAAAGTTAGGAATTAAAGCTCTTCTCCTACTCCTTTTAGAGTCAACAGCAAAACATCCATTGGCTTCAATGGGAGTGGCATCATGGCCTGAATTTGCAAGTAACTAAATCGGAGGGGAAGTCTCACTTAGCTCACGAACTGCGAACACTGGGAGAAGACATGGATAAGCGAGTGGATGCAGCAGTGTTATAATGGCAGCACGGAGTTGAAAGACTGGATTGGAGGGAGCAAGCTGAAAATTATGAATAACTAGTAAATGTGCCACGTACGGCTGAAACAGTAACCCGGGTTAACGATGATAGAGTTATCTATGATATCGTTTACTGTTTCCCTAGTGAGAAAGTACCTTTTTAAATCTTGCCTTTTAAAACTGAAATAATTTCCCCTTAACCTGGCATATGAAAAAAACAAACTCCCACTTAAACTTTAATTTTAAGAAAACACTTTAGGAACGTAACATTTAGGGATTTTCAAAACTAACCCAAGGGGGTTAGGTGCCCAGCCTAATAGGAGTCAGTTCCCCAGTTTCCCTATGCTGCCTTGAACACCTTAGTCTTATACTGCTTTAATGTGAACTATTGTTATGTTCATCTGGACTGTTCAACTTGCACCTCAGCCCCTAAACAGCTCAGGTGACTAGATAAGTCAATTACAGGCTGGTGCATAACATCATATATTTTGTCTCATATTTAGATTGCAAATTCTTTGGGTCAGGTCCCATCTTTTTGTCACGTAATTGTATAATACTTAGCACACTGGGGCCCTAAGTCACAACTGGTGCCCCTACAAATAAATAACTACCTAAGAAGGGGAAAATAGCAAGGAAAAGAGTGCACACAGTTAACATAGTCTTGCTTTATATACTCTAGCTTTAATACCAGAAGACATGACAGCACATTGTACTGTGTATTGTCACTAGCATATGGCCACAGTGGTCCCAATTCCTCTTAATGAGAATCAGCCCTTAGATGAGACGTCCATTGTTTTAATTTGCTGGTGGATCCACTCCAGGTATTGGCTGACTTTGGTGTAGACTCCAAACTTCTCCAGTTTCCCACAACCTTCTCCCCAGCTCACCAGTCCCACTAGGAACCAAGTGTTCTTGAACTTAGTGATCATGGGGCCTCCACTGTCCCCACCACAGGCATCCTGCTTGTCTCCAATAATCCCTGCACACAGCATGTTCTCAGAGATGTCATGCCTCATGGCTTGGGCACACTCACTCTGTGGGACCATGGGGATTTCGATGTAACTCAGAACAACAGAGTAATTCGAGGAGTCACCACTTTTGCTCCCCCAGCCAGTCACCACCATCTGCTTCCCATTCGCTGTCAGCTCCTGCTCTGCCAGTTTCTTGGTGGGAAGGCAAACAGGGAGCACGAATTTGTTGAAAATCATGGGCTGAGCCAGATGCAGCATGGCTATGTCATTATCGGAGGTCTCCTTGCTGTAGTTTTCATGGCTCACTAGCTTGTCAACCACAATGGTTTCCTCCGTTTCCTCATGCCGCAGACGGTGGTATTTCCCTGAAAGAGCAATGAGGAAGGAGATGAGAGATGTTACTGGGCTCCTGGACCTCCAGCCCCACTCCCTGCATCAAACCACATTAGGACTAAAATACATTGAGTGCTCAGATTTGTCCTTGTTTTCTTTAAATATGAGTTTGCTCAAGTTACCCTGTTCTATCTTAAGAGGGTTATACTTAACTGGCCTCCCACTCCTTGCTCCACAGGGCAGGGACATCATCTTTTGATTTGCCTATAAAGTATCATGCACATATTATGCAGCACTGCATAAATATATCAACAGAATGAAGACACTGAAACTCTTCAGTGTTGCTCTAGAGTGTCCATATTACAATGGGAATTGTACAGCTGGAGAGAATTTCTTGGGGGGTCCTTTCGCGGTACCCAGTATAAAAGTTGGGGGGAACATGCCTATAACACAGCAAAAGCAATATGCTTGTACAAGTTCTTTGACGGGTGTTTAGTGGCTGATTGATTGAACTCCCTGACGTAAAGGCCATTAGGACTGACTTCCTGGACTAGTCCATCCTAGAAGCTGGGATTTGTATTGTAAGAAATCCATGATCACCTAAGACTTTACAATTGTCACTGTGCTGCACACCCATTGGCCACTTGAAACTTCATCACCCCGGGTAGTGACTTTATGGACAATTCCAGGAGGACAGTTCCATACCTAAAGGGCTACATGGAAGACAGAGTGAAGGGGCTTGTGAGAGAAGTGTACAAACTGGGGGTAGAGGTTTGCACTGTTGGCACAGAGTGGAGGCGGCTGGGGCAACACAATGAGATACAACAGCAGATGAGCAGGGAGGGCCCAAGCTGTGAAGAGCCTTAAAGGAACGGACAAGAAGATTGCGTTTGATGCAATGGAGAAAAGGGAGCCAGTGAAGGGGCTCAAAGACATGATCAGAGTGGTGGGTCAGAAAAGATGCTCATAGTGGTATTAATGCCCATGCTGGCATCTCAGATTTTGGGGCAGTGGCACCATTGATTCCCTTAGTGGGATACTTCATACCTGTATCTTCTGTACCACACTTAACAAAAAGTATTTTCACTGACTAAGCAGCTGAGGCAGAGGCTGTATTATTCCTTTGCTGTCAGAGCAGATAGGTAGAAAATGCTCCTCCAGAGGGGTTTTATTTGAATGTGAAGGGAACAATGCTTGTGGTGGTTTTTGTTTGGTAATTCACGGGTAAATTTGGTGGACATTTTCCCATGCTTCATATACTTCGTATATGTGCAGGGCTAGCAGTGCTGGCTATGGCAATGTACTGTACATGGCACTCCACACCGATCTGCCTCTGCCTTCAATCTGCAGCACCCTGGCTACTTCAAATCCACCCCTCTCCTGAGCGGAGATTTCCAAGTACACCACCCTGTTGGGTAGTTTTGCAAGGTGGATGCATGCCCAACTTGGTCTAGATTAAGACTCCTCTGCACCTCTAGTACTCGTGGCCTATTCCAGATTTGGGCTCAGGAATCTAGAGATGCTTCCTAAGCAGCAACATTCTCATTAGCCCTGGGGCACTGAGTGCAGGCTCACTGCCCTGCCGTTGGGGTGCAAGCACACAGGGGTTGGGAGTAGAAACACAATCCAAGCTCCTCCAGAGTGTGGGATCCCCCATCTCAGTTCCCAGATTACAGTGTGGGAACTTTACTTCCCCTTCACTTCCAAGATACACAAGAGTCCTCACAATGTATCAGCCCACTTAGCTCATAGTCAGGCTCTTAGCTGCTCAAATGAAATCAGATGGGTTTAACAACATATTTTTTAAATCTCAGGTAGGCCCGATGGGCTTCCTAGCCAACCCAGTTCTCTATGCAGAATGACATGCTCCCTCTATAATCTGGCATCCTTCTCCCGAAAGGACAAGCCTCAGGATCCTGAATTAGAATGTAATATGTTAAAAGAGGGTAGCACAGGAGCTGGTCTTTTTTCCATACCAAGTCTTACTTTGAACCTCCCTTTCTCCTCAACGCAGTGTGCTGCCGTTAGAACCCAGGAGGGATGGATGAGAACACCTCCGCACTTAAACTTTCCCCTGCCATCTAGCAGCATGGTCTGAAACAAAGAAATAGAGAAGTACGGCACCACAGGATCCAGCTCAGACACGTAGGATATGATATATTCCTCCTGCGTGCAGCAGTCTACACTGCACCTTCAGGTACCAGAGCACGTGACATTAGCAGAGGTCAAAGTTCCTCGCTCGGTGGACAGAAGCATCCTAACAAGATATCTACAGTCCACATGAAATGAAGGTTTGGGTTTTGAGCATTCCATCTAAATCAGTTTTCGTGTTTCTCACTGGCTGGGCTCACTGCTCAGGAGATGCTGCAGACCAGCAGTTGGAAGCATTCTGGTCCTTCTGAGTTTTGGAGATTCTTAGCTCAAGCAAGAGATGGTTTAGCCCAACAACCACTGTGTGCCTGAAGTGAGCAAAACGTCTTGGGCGATTCTCATTTATGCTAAGAGCTCTTTATGCTGCCACAGTGGTGTAAAGGGATCTTAGTGTACATGAGACTCGGGCTGGCAGAAAAGCACTTTCTCTAATGCCCTGGTAGGGTCCATATGGTGGATCCTTCCTCTGTGAGCCCCCAGCATGCTCTGTAAAGGTCTGGTATGTTCTGTTAGACTAAAGCATGCTCTGTAACTCTAACCGATGCCTGGCAATGCTTGTTTTACATTTATAAAAACAAAGCTGTCCTAAACCAACAAAGATTTCATTCAGACGCGACCGTGATAGTACTACGATAGCCAGAGTGTGCTGCAGGAGGTATTCAATATGTTCAAGACGTGGCCATCCCCAGCTTGGTGGGACACCACAGGCAGGTACATCATGATGCTGCTTGCATTGGAATGGTTAGCAAGAACAAATAGAGCTTGGCAAAGAGTGCTAAGGCTAACAAAATACAACAAAAGTTACATTCGCTTCAGCTCTCCAACTTTTGATTTGGCCTTGGAAAGTCTAAAATAAGGGGAAGTTTAGCTTGCAATAGTGCCATCATTTGTGACCTAAGTGCTTTACTGTGCATATGAAGCAGTTCTGGGTACAGACTGAAAGCTCCACCACGAAAGATTATTTATTCCTCACCTGCCAGGGGCTGTCTCCTTTTTTCCCCATTTTCCCTGCAATGAGTCGAATTTGGACACCTGGTTTGAGCTCCATGCGATCTGCCTTCACCCTTCCGCAGGGGAACTCCACTACAAGAGATAAATCAAAAAGAGGTCAACCAGCAAAATCCAGACAATTCATAGACTCAGACTTTAAGGTCAGAAGGGACCATTATGATCATCTAGTCTGACCTCCCGCATGTTGCAGGCCACAAAAGCTGACCCACCCACTCCTGGGATAATTCTCTCACTTGACTCAGCTGTTGAAGTCCCCAAATCATGATTTAAAGACTTCAAGTCGCAGAGAATCCTCCAGCAAGCGACCCCTGCCCCATGCTGCGGAGGAAGGCGAAAAACCTCCAGGGCCTCTGCCAATTTACCCTGGAGGAAAATTCCTTCCCGACCCCAAATATGCCGATCAGCTGAACCCCGAGCATGCGGGCAAGATTCTCCAGCCAGACCCTCCGGAAAAAGTTCTCTGTAGTAACTTTTAATATCCCATCATTGACCATTGTTACTAATTACCAGCGATGGCACGTTATTGACCTATTGACTAAAATCACGTTATCCCATCAAACCATCCCCTCCATAAACTTATCAAGCTTAATCTTAAAGCCAGAGAGGTCTTTCGCCCCCACTATTTCCTTCGGAAGGCTGTTCCAGAACTTCACCCCTCTGATGGTTAGAAACCTTCGTCTAATTTCAAGCCTAAACTTCCCGACGGCCAGTTTATATCCATTTGTTCTCGTGTCCACATTAGTACTGAGCTGAAATAATTCTTCTCCCTCCCTGGTATTTATCCCTCTGATATATTTAAAGAGAACAATTATATCCCCCCTCAGCCTTCTTTTGGTTAAGGTAAACAAACCGAGCTCCTTGAGTCTCCTTTCATACGACAGGTTTTCCATTCCTCAGATCATCCTAGTGGCCCTTCTCTGTACCCGTTCCAGTTTGAATTCATCCTTTTTAAACATGGGAGACCAGAACTGCAAACAGTACTCCAAATGAGGTCTCACCAGTGCCTTGTACAACGGAACCAGCACCTCCTTATCCCTACTAGAAATACCTCGCCTAATGCATCCCAAGACCGCATTAGCTTTTTTCATGGCCATGTCACATTGCCGACTCATAGTCATCTTGCGATCAACTAGGACTCCGAGGTCCTTCTCCTCTTCCGTTACTTCCAACTGATGCGTCTCCAGCTTATAACTAAAATTATTGTTAGTCATCCCTAAATGCATAACCTTACACTTCTCACTATTAAATTTCATCCTATTACTATTACTCCAGTTTACAAGGTCATCCAAATCTCCCTGCAGGATATCCCGATCCTTCTCCGAATTGGCAATACCTCCCAACTTTGTGTCATCCGCAAACTTTATCAGCCCACTCCTACATTTGGTTCCGAGGTCAGTAATAAATAGATTAAATAAAATCGGACCCAAAACCGAACCTTGAGGAACTCCACTGGTAACCTCCCTCCAACCTGACAGTTCACCTTTCAGTACGACCCGCTGCAGTCTCCCCTTTAACCAGTTCTTTATCCACCTCTGGATTTTCATATCGACCCCCATCTTTTCCAATTTAACCAATAATTCCTCATGCAGTACCGTATCAAACGCTTTACTGAAATCAAGGTATATTAGATCCACCGCATTTCCTTTATCTAAAAAATCTGTTACTTTCTCAAAGAAGGAGATCAGGTTGGTTTGGCACGATCTACCTTTCGTAAAACCATGTTGTAATTTGTCCCAATTGCCATTGATCTCAAGGTCCTTAACTACTTTCTCCTTCAAAATTTTTTCCAAGACCTTGCATATTACAGATGTTAAACTAACAGGCCTGTAGTTACCTGGGTCACTTTTTTTCCCCTTCTTGAAAATAGGAACCACATTAGCTATTCTCCAGTCAAATGGTACCACCCCCGAGTTTACAGATTCATTAAAAATTATCGCTAACGGGTTTGCAATTTCTCGCGCCAGTTCCTTTAATATTCTCGGATGAAGATCATCCGGTCGGCCCGATTTAGTCCCGTTAATCTGTTCGAGTTTGGCTTCTACCTCGGATACGGTAATGTCAACCCCCCCTCCTTTATTCCCATCCGTCACGCTGCCATTATTCCTAAGCCCTTCATTAGCCTCATTAAAGACCGATGCAAAATATTCGTTTAGATATTGTGCCATGCCTAGATTATCCTTAATCTCCACTCCCTCTACAGTTTTAAGTGGTCAACACAATCACTGTCAGCTTATTAAACAAGAAACTCTCCAACTCACTACTGTTCCAAAAAACCCTCACCCTGTCTCCTTACTTCTGTGAGATGCTCGCAATGGCTTCTCTGCATTCCCTCATTGTTTCACTCTGGGGGAAATTCCCTGATCCTCTGGAGGAGTTTGACTATGTGAGGAGTTCCTAACACAGAGATACATGATTGATTTCTAATTCCAATAAAAGGAGGTTATTTACCTGTAACTGGAGGTTCTTCAAGATGTGTGGTCCCTAGCTGTGTACCACTGAGGATTATACACATGCGCCATGTGTCTGAAGCCAGAGATTTTGAAAGCTGTAGTATCCATTGGTCCATGCACGTGCCCTTGCTCCACCTTATGGTTTTGTCTGAGGTGATAAAGGGCGAGACAAACTGACTGGGCCCTCAGTTCCTTCTCCACCGCAAATTGAACAGATCCGCAGCAGTGGGGAAGGTGGATGGGGTTGAAATACAGATAGGGACTACACATCTCGAAGAACTCCAGTTACAGGTAAGTAACCTCCTCCTCTTCTTCAAGTGATGGTCTCTATTGTATTCCACTGAGGGTGATTAACAAGCAGTACCTAGTTAGGAGGACAGTGGAGGAAGATGATGGAACCGTGGAATGGAGAACAGGCATGCCGAACGAGGCATCCATCACAGTCTCACACTAAGGCATAATGGGAAGAGAAGATACGTACCAAACTCCACAGGGCCCCCCCCCACATATGTCTGTAAGTGGTACGTCATGAAGCGCGGCCATAGTCGATGCTTGCACTCTTGTGGAATGGGCTCATACCCCAAGGGGTGGAGACAGTCCCAATAATGGATAGCAGAGCGTAATGCATCCCAAAACCCACTTAGAGATCCTCAGAGTAGAAATCGCTTGCCTCTTAGTCCCTTCTGTTAGAGCAATACACAGTCATGGGGATGTCCTGAATGATCTTATCCTCTGCAAGTAGAAGGCCAGGGCTCTGCGAATGTCGAGGGAGTGAAGGTGCCGTTCCTCCGTTGAGGTGTGAGGCTTCGGGAAGAAAGCAGGTAAATGTATGGGATGGTTGAGATGAAAGCAGGATACAACCTTTGGCAGAAATTTGGAATGCAACTGCAGGGAAACCTGCGAGGTTTCCGAGGTTCCTTATGGAACGTGGTAAAGGGAGAGTCCATCATGGCCCCCAGTTCGACTACCCTTCTTGTGGAAGTAATAGCTACCAGAAAGGCAACCTTCATGGAAAGCAGTGACAGGGAGCAGGAAGCCATAGATTCAAAAGGTGATTTCTTCAACACCCAGAGGACAAGGTTGAAGGAGCAATGGGGTGAATGGGTGGATAAGTCTGGAGGAGGCCCTTCCAAATCCTGGTAGTCAAGGGAGACTTGGTTTTGTCTGAGGTGATAAAGACACGGGGGTGGCGGGCATCGAAAGCGGCTACATCAGGGGTGGCCAACCTGAGCCTGAGAAGGAGCCAGAATTTACCAATGTACATTGCCAAAGAGCCACAGTAATACGTCAGCAGCCCCCCATCAGCTCCCCCACCCCACTCCCAGCACCTCCCACCCACCAGCAGCCCCGCCAATCAGTGCCTCCCCCTCCCTCCCCGCACCTCCCAATCAGCTGTTTCGTGGCATGCAGGAGGCTCGGGGGAGAGGAGCAAGGGCACTGCAGGCTCAGGGGAAGGGGCGGGAAGGGGTGGAGTGGGGGAAGGGCCTGTGGGAGAGCCAGGGGTTGAGCAGTGAGCACCCCCTGGCACATTGGGAAGTTGGTGCCTATAGCTCCAGCCCCAGAGTCGGTACCTATACAAGGAGCCGCATATTAACTTCTGAAGAGTTATGTGGCTCCATAGCCACAGATTGGCCACCCCTGGGCTACATGCACCTTGATGGAGTTGAGAGTGAGTCCTGATGCCTTCAGGGACAGGAGGTAGTCCAGAAGAAGAGGGATGCCTACATTCTCAGGGGAAAGACCGCTCTGCTGGGCCCATGAGGTGAAATGCTTCCACTTGGCTCTATAGGACCACCTCATGGACTCTTTTCTGCTACACGAGAGGATGTCTTGTATTGCAGACAAACATTCTCACTCTAGCGAAAATGCCCATCGAAAAACCAAGCTCGTAGGTGAACTGTCTGCGGATTGGGATGCCTGATCCTGCTGCCATGTTGTGTGAAGAGTCCCGGGAAAACTGGCAGTGGAAATGGGGGACGCGCTGACATGTGAAGGAGGAGAAACCAAAACTGGTGAGGCCAGAATGAGGCAATCAGAATGACCGTTGCTCTCTCCTGTTGGATCTTGTGTAGGACATGCAGCAGGAGCAGTAGGGGAGGAAAGGCATAATTGACCTGGTCCAACCAGTGGATGACTAGGGGATCGTCTTGGTAAAGGGTGCCGAGGCCCCCCCTGGCCCTCCAGTGCATTTGCTGTTGGTGTGGGAGGTGAAGAGGTCCCTGGTCAGAGTCCCCCAGTAGTTGAAAATGTCTGTGGCCATGGTGTCATGGTGCTCCCATTCGTGGTCAGCCATGAATTTCTTCCTGAGAGAGTCTGCAATTACGTTCTGAGACCTGGAAAGATATGCTGCCGACAACAGCGTCTCGTGGGTAACACACCCAGGGCCGGCTTTAGGCACTGCGGGGCCCGATTAGAAAGAGCTGCTGCTGAAGACAGCAGCAGGACTTTGGCGGCAACTCAATTGGCTGCCGGTTCCTTCAGCAGCACGGCGGCGGAGGGTCCGTAGGGACGTTGAGGGGCCCTCTTAGGGGGGTGGGGCCCGATTCGGGGGAATCGGGTGAATCGCCCTAAAGCCAGCCCTGAACACACCAATCCCGAAGACGAACAGCTTCTGCACAGACTGCTGACGACCTCGTGCCCTCTTGTTTCTTGATGTAGTAAAGGGCGGTGGTGTTGTCTGACATGGTGTTGTCTGACATGATGAGAACGTGATGGGAGTGAATGGATGGGAGATATGTGCAACATGCTCTCCGCATTGCCCGAAGTTCCAGGATGTTAATGTGCATCCTGGATTCCCGAGCACTCCAAGTCCCCTGTATCATGTGCTCACCCATGTGGGCGCCCCATCCAATGAGTGCGTGCCTGTGATGATCGTCGTGCTTGGGGAGAACAGGAGGAAGGGTATCCCGGTGCAGACCTGACCAGGGTCCTTCCACCACTGGAGGCAGGAAAGAACCTCGGGGAACTGTCAGTAGGAAGTCCATGGTATGGTGCATGGGAGTATAGGCCTTCTGGAGCCATAGCTGCAGGCAGTGAAAGTGAAGACGAGAGAAGGCAGTAATGTACATGCAGGCCACCAAGAAGGGAAAGGTAAGTCCTGGATGGAACAGCAGGACCAGAGATCACCTTGGTAATCAGTTCTTGTAGGGTCTGGAACCTTTCCTCCAGTAGGTAGGCATGTGCCAAGACTGCATTGATGCAGGCCCCAATGAATTCTATAGCCTGTGTAGGATCCAAAATCTATTTTTCTATGTTTACATTCACCCACAGGGAGGAGAGGTGTCTGAGCAGTATGGAGGTCAAGGCTCGAGCCCTCCTTTGGATCACACTGCTATCTGCCAGTTTTTGAGATAAGGTAACATAACAACCACTTGATGCTTACGGTGGGCCACCACCATAGAGAAAACTTCAGTGAAAGCCTGTGGAGCAGTGGTGAGTCTGAATGGTAGAACCCTGTATTGGAACTATTGAGGGCCTGCTGTGAATCTCAAGAAATGTTTGTGGGTAGGATGGCTATCTACATGAAAGTAAGCATCCTGCATATCGAGAGCCATAAACCACGTCTTTTTCTAGCGAAGGTATGATGGCTGCTAGGGTGACCATACGAAATTTTAGCTTGCGTATGAAGTGGTTGAGACGACGGAGATCTAAGATCGGTCTCCACCGATCACCCTTCTTCTTGGGAACTAGAAGGAATAGAACCTTGTGCCCTAATAGGTCACAGGAACAGGTTTTATCACTCCCTTTGGAGTAGGGAGTCCACTTCTAGGGTGAGGATACTGTCATAAGAGTGATCACTGAGGTGAGGCAGCGTCATGAACTCAATCGTATAACCATGTTGAATGACATCCAGGACCCACTTGTCCATTATTATCAAACTCCATGCTGTTGAGAAGAGTGCTAGATGCCCCACAAAGGGGGCAGGCTGGGTGTAAGGCAAGAGGCAAGTTGGTTGGTGGGTCACCAGATGCACTCAGAAATATCAATTCTGCAAAGACTGAGTATGAGATGCTGAAGGCTGTGACGATGAACTGAGAGGACGGGGCTGTTGGAATCTCTGTCAGTAGTGAGGAGGCTCACTAGGCCGCTGATGGAAGGATTGAGAAGCTCTGAATCGTTGTGTCGGTGGTAAGTGGTAGAACTTGCGCTTGGGTGCTGGTGTGTAGATACCCAGCGATTGTAGAGTGGCTCTGGAGTCCTTTAGGGAGTAGAGGGGAATCGTCAGTCTTCTCATTGAAGAGATGAGACTCATCGAAAGGGAGGTCCTCCATGGTGTGCTGGACTTCCCCTGGGAAATCTGATGAAGTAGCCACCACGCCCTTCACATGACGATCCCCATAGCCATCGTGCATGAAGAAGTGTTTGCCACATCCACTGCAGCCTGAAGTGTCATCTTCATGACCAGTTTCCCCTCCTGTAAGATAGTCTGGAGGAAGCTTGTCTGCAAAATCCACCAACTTGCCGTAGTAAGGAAATAATATTTAGTGAATAGATCCAAGTAATTTGAGATTCCAAATTGTAGGCTGGCAGACGAGAAGACATTGTGATCCAGACGATCCAGTCACTTGTCCTCTTTGTCTGCCAGGGTAGAGCATGGGTGTTGTTGCCACCTGTATGACGAGGGAATTGGGTGGGAGGTGAGAGAACAGAAACTCAGACCTCTTCACAGGTACATAGTACCTCTTCTTTGCCCCCTTGGGGGTGAGTGCACAAGTGGCTGGAGTGTGCCAGATAGTCTGGGCTGGTTGCAGAATGGCCAGTTACTCTGGTCGGTACTGAAGCATGCAAGATGTCAAGCAGCTGGTGCTGTTTGTCCTGTATTTCCTCCAGCGGGATGTAGAGGTGTTCAGCCATCTTGTGTAACAGGTCCTGGAACTGATGATAGTCTGGGGACAAGGAGGGAGCTGAAGACACTGTGGCATCCAGGGACGAGGAAGGGAACTGCTCCGGTTCTGGTGGTACTGTCGGAGTTGGACTAAGCGGTTCTTCCTCCCAGTATTGGAGTTCTGAGCACCTGCTCAATGATGGTTGAACAGGCGAGATGGGGGACTCCTTTCAAGCTGAGTGGGAAGGTTCTGAAGGTAGGTACTGGGGCTGGGACCCCCAGTATGGCCAACAAGGCAGATTTGATGGTTGTTGTGGAGGGCCCCAAGGAGTGGTGTACCAATGGACTTCTTTGCTGGGGATAGGAAGGACACTGCCACTGAGTCGTCAGAAACATTGGTACGGGAGGGGCGGACTATGCGCTTTGTCTGAGTCCTCCGATGCCGAAAAGTCAGAGCCTGGTTCGAATCGCGGAACTGTAGGGAAGTGGGTGGGAACACAGCCCAAAGGAGGTAAGTCCAAGGTAGGACAGCCCACCCCCTTAGGTGGCGACTGAACCTGAAGATGTGGAAACGTCACTTCCTCCAAAGCCAAGAGTTCATGAGGCTCAGGGGCCAACTCAAGCATCTCGGGCATCAACGGTATGTGCTCCGCAGTCAGAACTGGAGCCAGAACAGAGGACTGCCTTTGAACTGAAGGTTCCTTTGACTTCAGCGGTGCCGATCTGGAAGGGGTACATGGCTTTGTGGACAGGACTAGCATTCTGTGCAACTTCTTGTTATTCTTGTGAGATTTGGAACATGCCGTTTTCTGTGGCTGGAACTTGTGGATGGGGCAGTGTCCTTCCTGGGCGTGGAGGAAGATTTACTGCCATGCTTATGCACATACTTCTTTGCCTCATGACTAGGTCCCGGCATGGGGACCACAGCACTGGTACCAACGGAACCAGACTGGGTCTCTGCGGTAGGAGGTGTGCTCCTCAACTGCTCAGGCTGATGTATGGGGGAGTTCCCCAGTCTGGATCCGACTGTGGCCTCATCGTGACTTCCACAAAGTGCTTCTTGAGGTGGAGAGCCCGACCTTCCCGAATACGGTTTGGGAAGGAGAGGCAGACACTGCACCTGGATGCAATGTGGGCTTCTCTCAAGCAGTAAAGGCAGCATTGGTGCTCATCACTGACTGAGAATGAGCGAGGGCAGGAGGAGCAGATCTTGAACCCTGGTATCTTCAACGTAATCCAGTACCCAGACCTGGGTGCTGGGCAGGGTGGGGGGGAAGTGGGAGACCTTTAAAACGGCATCCCCAAATCCTGAAAACTATCACTAATCTACTGCAAAACAACAAGAATACTAAGCATATAGAAGTAAAAAAGAGTCTTTTTTCTGTGTTTTAGAAAGCGCATCACAAGAGATGAGAGAACAGGAGAGGCTGTGACTCGGACCATGCAGCGGTGAGAAGGAACTGAGGGCATGGACGGTACATCCCGCCCTTTATCACCTCCGACGAAACCACGAGGCAGAGCAAGGGTGCATGCGTGGACCAATGGACACTACTACTTTCCAAATCTCTGGCTCTGGACACATGGTGCATGTGTATAACCCTTGGTGGAATACAATAGGGACCATCACTCGAAGAAGTGGAAAAATCCCAAGCAGAAAATCACTCTGCATGGGATAGATGCATTGGAACTATTAGAAACCGTGTTGCATATGGTTCTCACATTTCAGAAAAGAAGTGTGTCCCCTGTTCTCTTGTTTGAAGAACACTGTATAAAATTGGAATTTTGGGTGTCCTCCCACCCCACCCTTCCTTCTTACCAACGGGCTCGCACTTGGAATGGTCGTCCATCAGCTGATACCCTGAGGCACAGCTGCAATAGCGGCGCTGGCTCTGCTTCGGATCCTCATGACAGAAATGTTCACATCCCCCATTGTAAGTGGAGCAGTTGGTGTAGTTAGCCTCTGGGAAACAGGGGAGGGGAAAAGACATGCAAGGTTAGAAGGTCTAGGAGTCACCTGATGGTAAGGTCTGAGCGGGACTTGACGTTCCCCTTTGAAATTGGAATAGATGCACTGTGAGAGGGAATTGTCCTGTGCCTTGATTTGAGGGAACAGCAGTTGATGGATTTGGGATTCCAGCTTCTGCTTCTGACTTTGTGGTGTTTGAGTGGCAGATTGAAAATGGGGCTAGCCACTGGGAGTGCTGAGGGAGAGGCCAGTGGCATGATACCAAGGAGTGTGCCAGGAAGTAGTAGACTGAAGGTCTCATAATTCTCTTCCTTGCCATTGAGCATGAGTCTACTGCATACACTGGTCAGCAGTTTGCCGGGGAAGAAAAATAGCTCTTTTAAAAGAGTTCAGCTCAGAATTCGCTCATCTCTGTATTGGATTGTGATGTTTTTTCACTATCTTGCAAATAAAATCCATCCTTTCTTGTTTTGCTGACAGCTTTAGCAGTTGTGGCAGACCCTGTTTTACAGGAATATTTTCATTGGCGAGAGACTTAGACCTCTCCCATGATTACAGATCAGCTTTATGCTATTTTAGAAAACAAACAATCCACTGGCAGGCCATGAAATAGAGAAAAACAGCATCAGAAGCAGACAGGTTCTGCAATGACATAAGTGTTGGTTTCCCTATACAGGCAGAGGTACTTCCTCCCCTTCCCCCCAGTTTTATTTCTAATATTAAAATGGTGGATTGAAGCCAGCGTTACCATGTTGGCACAGGCGTCCCTCCCAGCCTTGGTTACAAATACAGTTAAATCGTCCAATATTGTCCAGACAGGTCCCATTGAAACAAGGATTGGATAAACACTGATCTCCATCTGAAATACACATGCAAGGAAACCCAGATCATGAACCCTACATCTGACCTCTTCAGTCCCAACCACCCCACATCAGCTCAGCAACTGGGTGTTTTGAGCTCGATATCTTTATGGTGCTTTTTTTGCCTGTTGTATGTGTCGCTCTAGATGTTCTCCAAGGCACAAGGACAATGTGATGGGTTCTGAGTTACAGCTGTAGGGCGTGTGTGCTGAGGGCAGGAAGGAGGGCACGCAGGCACTGAATGCAGTGGGGCATGGCTTGGTTTTCTTAGAACTAGAGAGCAATGGTGGAGTTCATCCTTTGTGTGCACCAGGGAGGTCTACAGTAATCACCGGGATTAGGAATGATCCCCCATCAACTTTGACCAGCGGCTTGGCTCTAGGAGAGGCTATGGAAACAGGCATAGAAGTGTTTGGAATCTGCCCCTACAGTCCATGTAGTAGCTGGGGAAACACACTGTGACATGAGAACACAGACTTTGCAAATGCGTAAAAGTTGGAACGAATAACGTACAGAGAATTAATATACAGTACATGGCAGCAAGGATGCAGAGGTCCCGCTGTGGGAGGGAGGGGGAGTGGAATCGGAAACTTTTCCTTACTTACCAACATACTTAGTCCAAAAGTTTAGCTGTGTAGAAATAAAAACAGGGTTAGGGCTGGAAGCAGACTGTTCAAATGAATGAACTTTAACTGTCTCTCTGCCTTGGGGCAGCGGCGTTCAGGTCTCCAGCTAATAGTTGTAGTATCCTCCCCTTTGATACAGCAGTAATAAGACTCAATTACCTGGCTGGGTGGCAGGCTAGGATGTGATGCTGCAAACACAGGTCATACCATTTCCCTCGTGCAGATCCCGCTCCTCCATTCATCACACCTCCCCACCTGCCCCCAACCACTCGCCAGCCCAGTACACTGTACCACACCAATCCCAACCAGCCTTTTTCCCAGACCCCCTCCCCCAACAGCAGCCAATCCCCCAACACAGCACACACATCTTACATACTGCTGAGAGCTCAGGGACATTGGTGCTGGCTGGTCCTGAGTGTGTGCTTGATTCTGCTGATCCAGAGGGGTTGATCCTGGTGGGTCTGGGAGGACCCAGCTGCCTCAGTGATGGGCCCAGCTGTGCCCCTTACCTCCCCTCAATCTGCATCAGCTTCTTTGCTGTCAGTAGGCAACCGCTGACTGGGTAAGTCCCCTGTATTTCTGGTGTACAATTACAAGCAGTGCCCAGCCAGGTAAAAAGACAGACGACAGTGAAGCCTTTTCTTCTAGGTGATTGGCTCGAATCCCACCCACTTTGGTAATGGCCACATGTTGTTACCATACAGTCTCCCTTGTGTTATTGCCAATAAAGCTCACCAGCACACTGAGATGTGGGCCTCACCGTGCTCGCTGCCAGGCATTCACATGGCCAGAGGCAGTCTCTGCCCCAGAGAGTTTACCATAGTAGAAAGACAATACGCTGAACCCTGGATGAGGTGAATAGTGCAGGAAAGAGGAGCACATGGAAGGAGAAAGTGATTTAAATAAAAGGGGGCTGTCAGAAGGGATTTGAAAGAGGAGAGAGGGGATGGCGCCTGGCAGAGGCTGCCAGATGACTGTAGAAGCTGGGAATGGGCAAAGAGGAAAAGTTCAAAGGGAAGTGACAGCGAGATGTCAGTGGGGCAAGATTCCAGAGGCCTCCTAGGGGAGGAGAAGGAGCCTGAATGTGCTGTGGTAATAGTCAAGAAGCCAATGGAGGGAGTCAAGCAGGGGCAAAGTGGCTCCGAGGCTCGGGCTGGCAGGGGAGAGGAAGATGGTTTTAGGACAGGCTGGCTGTGGGAGAGCTGGGGCAGGAGGCAGACAGGAAAAGGCTACAGTGGCCAGGGGAGACCTACCAGCACACACAGGAGAGACAGGGCTGGCTTTGGTTTTTACAACCAGAACCGCGAGGAATAAATAGAGACTAAGGGCCAGATCCTCTGCTGGTGTAAACCGACACAGCTCCATTGACATCAGTGGAGTGCTGCACATTCACACAAGCAGGGGCTCTGGCCCTAAGAGAGAGGAGGGATATTTAAGGGAAGCTCTCATTATGCTCCTGACGTGAATACATTCCCAAAATCAACATTTCACTGGTTAATTCATTCTCACGTCCAGCTTTAGGGGAACGACTTACAGTTGCTTCCCTGGTTTCAAATATCTCATGGGCCTCCTCCAAGTCACACTGCTCCTCATTACATTCTCGCTCCACAGAGCCTGGCTTGAGCTCCTCCAGAAAAGAGTTTGCCCGCTTCTGGATTTTCAGGATTTGGTTTGCATCTTTGCTGCTGTAAAATACTTGAAGCCGAGAGAGGAGAACCAACATGGGGCTCATGCATGGCACCGAATCTTAGTTTGCAGCCCCTTTCAGAGATATTCACTTATTTATTATCTCCAGCTTAAGGCACCTTCTGCCTGATTTTTAGAGGTGCCCAAGACCACAGAAGCACCTCTAAATGTCAGGCACAGAAGGTCTGAACCTGGACACCCAAAAAGCCAGAGGGACATAGAATCCATGAAGTTTCCTGAGAACATTGGCCCTGGTTTGGTACTTCTCAGAGAACACGTTCAGGTGGGCAGCAGACTGAAGGACAGGCCCGTGGTGTGTCTGGGTTTGAGACACAGAGGCTCCATTTCCATTAGAGAACTGAATCATTGGTAATGGAACCACTGGGATTGCATGGTGAAATTAGCAAGTGCTGTGGAGTCACACTAATTAGTCTGTTTTGGGTATAGTTCTGCCCCATGTCAATGCACAGTACTGCCTTACAAGTATTGCAGGGCCTTCAGCCTGTTGCACCTTTCCCACAATGCCTGGCACAGCTTCTTGGGGCTGGTACCCCTCCATTTTCACCTGTTCACAGGTTTGGCTTGTTCCAGTGGATGTTTTAAGAGAGTTCACTCCTGCACAAATTGCTGCGAATGTGCTGTGAGGCACAGGGCTGCACCCACCCATTGCAGACACCATGCCGGAGCACTGTCCAACTGACTCTGGTGGCCTGGAGCATATTGCAAGAAGCACAGCTTCCTTTGGCTGGAGGGTCTCCAGGAGGCAAGAGGCCTGGGGTCTATTCCTATTTGATGTTGTGTTGCAGTCGGTTTGCTTGCTTGTTTGAACTAAACAATTCTTTTTTGTATTTGCCTCACAGTAAGAAGCTGACTGAATGTTGTGGTCGCTGTGCTGGTCTCAGGATAGTAGAGAGACAAGGCAGGTGAGTTAATATCTTTTATTGGACCAACTTCTGATGGTGAAAGAGACACGCTTTCGAGCTACACAGAGCTCTTCTTCGGGTCCTGAAGACAACAGCATGAAGAAGAGCTCTGTGTAGCTCGAAAGCTTCTCTCCCTCACCAACCAAAGGTCCAATAACAGATATTACCTCCCCCAGCCTTGTTTCTCTAGTAAGAAGCTGAGATAGGAGTGCTTTAAGCCTGGTTTCAGAGGCAGGAAATACTACCAGACCGTGAGGCCAAGCCATCCCTCCCACCTCCTCTCAGACAGTCAGGGTCACAAGGCATGTGGGACACATGGGGAGAGAGCTGGGTAATGGAGAGGCCTGGGAAGTTAAGCAGGCAGGTGGGTGGTAGGCTTGTACATATGTGTGATAGAACAGAAAAGGGATCTTAGCACTTTCTTTTGCAGGAGTCTGGGAGATGCAGCGGAGGTAGGGGCTTGATTGACATGGGGCCTCCCAGTAGGGTCTGAGCAGCCATGTATTGCTGGGTGGGTGTGTCTGGCATAGTACGTGGGGAAGGAGTGGGGCTGTGCTTACTAACCTGCCAGGAAGTGAAGACACACTGGTCAACATGGGTATGGCTACAAAGCAGAGAAAAACCAGCGGCTGGCCTGTGCCAGCTGATTCAGACTCGTGGGGGTTGGGCTGCAGGGCTGTTTCATTGCTGTTTAGACTTCCAGGCTTGGGCTGGAGTCCCCTCCCACCTCACAGGGTCCTGGAGCAATGAAACAGCCCCGCAGCTCAAGCCATGAACCCCAATCAGTTGGCCTGGGCCAGTCATGCATATTTAGTTGCTGTGTAGACATACCCTATACTTGTATTACAGAGGCAGCAGGCATGACTCCTCCATGTTCTCACATGGCTTTCCATGGGCCATACACTGGTTTCTCTACATGGGGTGTCCTCTCTGTGTGAAGTGTTAGGTTTCTGGTTGGGAACAGTCTGAAGTAGGGCTCTGGCTGAAATCCGACAGGGTTCCCTCACAGAAGGACATTACTTTATCATCAGGATGAGCCTTATCTGACCCTGTGAGGACTCCTTGCACTAGGATAGTTGTTCTGTCAGCATTACCAATCACTGGGCCGCTGCACTGTCCCTGGGGTAGCTCCACGACAGCCAGTGGTGGGGAGAGCAGCATATGCTGGACTCAGGGTTTTAACTGCCACGTCATCTCAGCCTGCTCTGGGCAGGATTAGACAGGATGGCAGCAATGCAGTGGCCTGTCTGCAACAGTGCTCTCCCCCATGGATACCACAATGGTAGCTGCACCAGGATAGCACCAAAGGAGACTAGCACAGGGAGAAACTCAGAGTGGAACTTACCTGAAGCCCCGTGTCCATGGTGCACAGAGCAGGCAGCCACCAACACACACAGAGTACAGAGCCTCCACATAGTGCAGAACGGCACACCTAGGGGATTAAAAGGGAGGAATGAAAGCGCACGCCCTGGCAGGGCCCAATGCACTCCCCGAGACGGAGGAATTTCTAGCTAGGCAGCGGGTCAGATTGTTCCCTCCTTTGTTTTCCAGGCAGCCGGAGCCCATCTGAAAGGCTAACTTGCTCCTCAGCTGGAGTGCAAACCAAAAGCAGTGGATCGTTAAAGTCCATCCTAACGGTTCCGCTAGTTCCCTTTGTTCCATCATCAGCCTCCCCACATACGTCCTCTCTCTCCTCTTCCCTCCCCAGATTCAGGATTTGCCAAACAAGCCTCCCTCTTAAATCGAACAGGGTATAATACTTTGGAAGCACTTACTGACCGACCAGTTTGAATCACAGCTCTCTACTCTTCTGCCATGAGCACTGGTGGAGGCTAGTTAATCCCTAACTTCAAATATTTACTCATCCCACGAGGGCCTTACTTTCGGTCAGTCAACAAACAGGGTACAGCTCCTGGGACAATTCTCTGCTCCAAGGAGCACGAGTAAAACGGCCCCTCTGGGGGTCTGAGCTGTTCATGTCTGGGCTTCCTGTTGCTTTATTTTTTGCCACTAACAGGTAAGATCCACTTGAAGCGGATGGTGGTAAATGCAACCATGGCAGAACTGAGAAACCTTCTTCTTGGTGAATCCTAAAGCCTGCAGATAAGGATCCACTGCCTTCTCCACACTGGGTGGGTCCTATTCCTGGTATTATTCTACATGGGGGCAAGTGTGTTAGTATTCTCCCACTTTCTTCTCGCCTGGACAGTCCCCACCCTGCAATGGGACCACCTTTTGAGCTGAGGAGGCTAGCGCCGATTCCTTACAGCCACATGGGGTCACTAGAGTGCCATAACATGCGCTTTTGCCATCCTGGGAGGAAGAGCTCTGAATGCTTAGATTCCCGTGCCAGCACCCCCCCCCTTCCAGGAACTCCCATTCTGTAATTAAATAACACATCATCCTCCCCACTTCACCCTCACTGATGTGATCAGGAGGGAGATCTTTTCTATAATTCCATAATAAATATATTACAAAATACACATACACACAATCAGAACCACAATAATACACCCTTCACCCCCGTTTTTTGTTTTTTTAAAGGTCCTCCTTTCAGGAGGACCAAAAATATTAATTTTTATTCTGATTTAGGTTGGGTAATTTGAGAGATTGATCTTCCCTCTGGAACCCTGAAAACTGCATGTAACTCTACATGTTTGTCCCGCTGTCCTATTTTATCATTCCAATAAAATCTGTATTATAAAACAGTGGAGAGATCCTAAGTATGAAAAAAGGGAAGCGAAACAATTCCAAATGTGGTCGCACCAGTAGCCGTAATAATAAAATCCTCTGAAAACGGTCCATGTTCAGCTGTGGTTCAAAAGTGGGGAGGAAGGGGCTGATGGCTACAGTGGGGGAGGAGCTTCCAGTCCCCTGGATCACCAAAGGGAAAGCAGACTCTGCTGACTTAAGAAGGGATGGAGGAATCCCTAAGATTGGAGTGGGTGGGTCTGATCCCAAATCCCAACTCTAAACATCCTCCTGGTATTTGGGGTGATTCAGATCAGGATACAAAGGCCCTGGCCCTGCAACTGGATCCATGCAGAAGGCTCTTGCACCTGGGCAGAGCTACACTGACTTCACTGGGACTCCAGGCAGGTTTAAGGGTCCATCTGTGTAGATCTGACTGCAGAATAGGGGGCCAAAGTTTTCAGCTGAGCCCTTCTCTACCTAAAACCAGGGTGCCACCTCTGAGATGCAGAAACCTGGGACATCTGGGATGAGCCTGAGCCGATAACACTGGACAGGTGGCAGTGTGTACTGACCACCCTTACAGATTGCCTGGGACAGCTACCTCCAAAAGGGGACAACCCTGGGAAAACCTGGTCAGGTGGCAAGTCTAGTCAGCATAGGACTCAAGAAAGAAGGTGCTAAGATAGCCAGGATGGTTAGTACCATTAGAGGCATTAAAGGAAGCCTACACTGTTTGGTAGTAATTTCCATTTTATGGGATACATTTAACATCAAACAATAGCTGCACAAAACCAAGAAGGACAACACATACCCGGCAAGGGGCTGAGTTAACCCTGCTTCTGGAACCTTAACCTTTGCATTCCCTGATTTTTCAAAATTTCTGCTGTCCCTAATGGGACACAGTAACACGTGCAATTGCCTGATCTGACTTCCCTGCAGTCAGTGGAAATACACCTCTACCCTGATATAACACGACCTGAAATAACACAAATTCGGATATAACGCGATAAAGCAGTGCTCCGGGGTGCGGGGAGGAGGGGCTGTGCGCTCCGGCGGATCAAAGCAAGTTCGATATAACGCGGTTTCACCTATAACGCAGTAAGATTTTTTGGCTCCCAAGGACAGCATTATATCGGGGTAGAGGTGTACTGATTAATTTCAATGGGTGCTGGATCAGCATTGAAAACATTTTGGGCCCTCCTTGTAGTGACAGTTCTAATACTTGACTGTCTTTTTGTTCATTTGTGCCTCATCTGGCACAATGGGTTCCGGTCCATGACTGGTGCTTCTAAGTGTTACAATAATACAAACAAAAAATAACAGTATATCAAGTACCTGTTGGACTACATTACCCAGAGGTTAGGTGCGTTTTTGTTGGAAGAGAGAAGCATGGTAAAAATCAAGGTAGCTGTATTACCTTAAAAAAATACATGCCAGCTGCATAAACTACATGTACTATTGCATGACTGTAGGGTTTTTTGGTTTTGCATTTAATTAATCTGATAGTTGGAAAATAGCCCTTTTTATTTTAACACAACTTATTTAGTGTGGACACCTCTCCAACTGACTGTCTTTTTGGTATCTGGGTTTATGATGTTAAATTCAGTATTTCTCCTGTTTGAATTTTGACTATATCCTGTCCATTGATAGCGCAAAGCCAGAAGACAGCCTGCTTAAATGGTTATGCAAAGCATGACCTGGGAAGTGGGGGGAACACTTCGGGTGGGATTTTTCAAAGAAGGTTAGAGGCCCACATCTCACTTAATTTCAGTGGGAGCTGGGTGCACAGCCACCATACTCTCCTTTGAAAGTGCTGGAATGATGCAAAGTAACTGAGTTTTAATCACATGGTGCGGCTGGAAGCCATCCTTAGTGGTGACTGGTGGATTAATAAGTAGCAGTTACTTGCACTTTTTTTCTTCTTTCTAATGTATAAAGGTGACCTGAAAGGGTTCGTTTTTTGGAAACCTGGAGGGTTTTGGTTGGTTGGTTTGATTTTGGGGGGAGGAGGAGGGGAATGAGGGATAGTAAGATTTTTTTTCTGCTTTACATTAGAAAGTCAGGTGCAGTCTGGATTGCAGGAGTCCATTACAGCTGCAGACCTTGTGAAACAGTAACACCAGCCAAACCGGGAGTACGGTGAATCCCAGCGACCCAAAAGAGGATACAAACCAATTCCCCCCATCCCCACCCTTTGCAGGTCACCTTAAGGCAGCTTTTCTAGGGGTCTGCAGCATGCTGAGTGGGACTGTCCATGCTAATTGTCCCCACAGCAGCCCATCCTACTGCGTCTGTGATCAGAGACCATGTCATTGCCATGTCAGAAAGAGGTGGGGCTTCACTGGGTCCCACCAAAATAAATTCATTTGATGGCCACTGAATATGCTCAGAAGTGATTTTTCAATGGCTTATAACTCTTATTCACCCACTTTTTCTGAACCTGGTCATGGGCAGTCTCCAGAACAAACACTCTTTGCATGCCAAGGTTCACGGTTCAAGGGTCAGCCATTTTTGGAGTTGTGTGAAAAACACTGTGGCAGTTAAAAAGTTGAAAAAGTTATTTTTTCAACTGTCCCAGCAAAGTTTTTCTTCAAAGCTTCCATTAAAAAAAAAACAACTTTCAGCTGAGACTAAACATGGAGGATTTGGGGTGGGGGAATGTCCAGAAAGTTAGAGCAAATGAAAACAGGGGCTTATAAATTATACTATTGTATTATTTTAACTACTGTATCAGGTTTGTTCACTCAGCAAACAGTAATATATTACATGGAGCTGGACTAATTGCCTATAGACAGTACTCTGTGTTACCATGTAGGAAACCTGCATTTGATTGGTAATCACATGACCCCAGGAGCTGGAGATTTACGAAAAAACACCAAATATTTAATGATCTGCGATAAAATCCTGATGAGTTGGCAACATTGCTCAAGCCCAAGGGCCAGACAGAGAATGGCTTGAGCAGGGCTGTCCTTAGGCATACGCAGCATCCGTAGCTGTGTAGAGCACCACGAAATTTGGGGCACCAAATTGCCCCAAATTTCATGGTGCCCTAGGCAGCTGCGTGCTGCATACGCAGCAGCACCAGCCCCAGCGACCAGCCCTATCCCTCGGCCGGCCTCCTCACAGGTTGCGCCCACTGCAAGGGGCAAGGCCGTCCCTACGGTGTGTGTGGGGCCCAGGACAGCTCCCTCTACCCTGCCTCTTACCCTCCCCCCGGCTCTGCCCCCGGCAGCCCGCCCCCATTCCACCTCTTCCCCCAGCGACCCCGCACTCACTGGCAGTGGTGGGAAGTGCAGCAACCTGGCCCCAGCCTGCTCCACTCCGCAGCGGTCCGCTTCCTGCCGCCGGTGAGTGCGGGGAAAGGATCGCCCCCAGCACTCACCGGCGGGGGGAAGTGGAGCAACGCGGCCCCAGCCTGTTCTGCTTCCCTTGCCCCAGCCATGTCGCTCGGGTTGGGAAAAGGACCGCCCCCGGGTGTCACCGGCAGCAGGAAGCGGAGCGCCGCGGCTGGGAGCTGGCAGAGTAAAGTGGGCTGGGGCCGGGCTGCTCCGCTTCCCGCCGCTGCCAGTGAGTGTGGGGGGGATCCCTTCCCCCAAGTCCCCTCCCCTGAGCGACATGGCTGGGGCCGGGGCAAGGGAAGCAGAGCGGGCTGCTCCCAGCCCCCCGCTAATCCCCTGGGCCACTCTGGGCCTGTGGGGCCCCCAAAAGTGGCCCCCCACAGCTCCTGCCTCCCAGACCCTGGGGGGGGGGAGGCCTGGGGCCCCACACAGCCCCCCCCATGGGGGGGCTGCGTAGGGCACCCAAATGGCTAGGGACGGGCCTGGGCTTGAGTCATAAGAAATGATACAGGTGGGCTCCTAAGGGACTACTTTCTGGTCTCTCTTGATCAGAAGGATGGTTAACTAAAGTTTGAACTCTGAGGATGAGAGGAAGATAAAGGGGAATAAAGATAAGGATCTTTGGCAGACTGACAGGAAACAGGATCCACAGCAAAAATTAAATAATACTGTAGCGAGAGATCACATTCAGAGGATATTACAAATAGATAAAGGCATTAGAAATAGACATCACAGAGGAAAACAATCCTGTCAAGTGAAAAGGATTATGGATCATAAGATTTCTCAGCTCAAAGCCATCCCCTCACGAAGCTGATCTGCAAA